GTGTTGACGTCCCTACACCCAAGTGAAACAAAGACTGCATCGTATATCTTATAACCTGCAGTCAAAGAATGGTAGGTAGTCGTCCTTTAATGGCTGAAGCAGCCCCTCGGCTTCTGAGCGTCTTGGTTACACAGATACGCACGAGAAAGGGCAACACAATTTTAAATTATAAATAACTGGAAAACGACCGTGTCTTAAGATATCGCAAAGTAATCGCATTGCGTCCACCAACTTGATTATGCAGCATACAGCGTGAAGCACAGTGTGATCAAATCTTTGGCTGGTCGGTCACAGGTCAGCAGTTTTTTGTATTTGTCGTGTTTATTTTGTTACGAGGATTTTTTTTAATAGAAGATGAAAATTGCAAGCGTCTCAGCGCCGGCGGCGGGAGGAGGAGGCGGAAGGAGGTTAGCCGGGACGGTGGCAGCTGCTCGAGGGGTGGAGTTGGGATGCTGTGCGGGCCGCTCGGCCGACGCGCGGATTGTGCCGACGCTTGGCGAACACCTCTCGACTCGGCTGGAATTGGGATCACGAGAGAGGGGGGAGTGGGGGGCACGCGGCGCCGACCTTTCGCTGCTGCCGCCGCCGCCTCGTTCGCGTGAAAGCAAATTGAAGGTGTGCCGAGCGCCGCTCTGTAAATCATTTCACTCTAATCCCCGCAGTGGAGGGAACTTCATGGATTTTCATCCTTGCCTCCAAGGCTCTTATTTATTTAACCCGCCCTTGTGACAGTTTTCGCATTTGTGTGTCATTACAAAAATAATTTCAACATTTTTATTGTAAACGCACGTATACAATAAAAAAAGCTATTATTTTTACCATGTATTCCCAATCTAGGTTTTCATAGATGTTTTATGCCGCAAGATGCGTTCGCACCTGGCTATGCATCAGCCGTGGCTCAGTCTGCACTGCCAATAGCCAGCCTGTTCACTCCGGTAATCTACGTTTCAATAAGTCGGAGGCATCAGCGCGACTGGCGCGTTTAAAACCGATACACATTGTGCACCGTTCAGCAGTGCGCACGTACAGTTTTTGTTCGCCTGCGACCAGGTGCAGATAAAAATGACGGACACTTTCATTTCCCTGAAAGTTACTCCGTTGTCCGCCGGCGTTTGGAAGGGTGGAATTTAATCAGCGTGCGGCGTGTCTCTTTCTTTGGCCCGTCCGTTAAATTTATCTCCCTTGCCTCCACAGCGGCCGCTGGCCGGCGCTCGTAGGAGCCGGTCACCCGGCCGGGCGATCTGCGCGACGTTAGCAAAGGGGCACTGACGGTGCACTTCTTGTTCATCGATGTGTCAGACGTGGCAAGGTCCTTAAAAGACCCTGGAACGGTAGCAGCTGTGTAAGCGTGGCTACGCCGGTACACCTTGCACGTTTTCAAATTAATGTCTCGTGCAATATGTCCTATTAGATGTCAGAATGTGCTGTGTATTTCATTGCCTCGTATGAAATTAGAAGGAAAAAAGTTATTCCAATTTCTTTCCATTCAGCTCTAATAGTTTTTTTTTATCCATGTCGCTGGCGACTGATAGAGTGCAAAGTGGAATTTGATGCACAAAGTTCCGTCGGCGAAAATGATGCGTGGGTGAGAAGTCGGCTTCTCGTAACGATGTCGGAGCTCAACGGTGGCAGAACTGCCCAGACCCTTGGAATCCAGAACGATCCAGCAACCTGCCCACATTCAGACGCCAGAGACTCACAGCGATTCTCATCATCCGCCGATACCCTGTCTGTAAACATGCATTTGTTATGTATGGGAGCACTATGTCAAGGCTACAGTGGTGAGGTAAAATGTGAATACTCTCACCTCTTCCTTTTGCCATCCAGAGTGGAAGAGTCGACCAAAATAATGTTGTAAGCGAGGGGTCGTCCTCTGTGAGCGACGCGCATGGTGATTGCAGGCCTGACATTGGTGCGACTTACACGAGAGAAACAATCAACATTAAAACTTAACACATTTGTCAATAACACTTCAGCCTTCAAAGACAAAATGTATTCTGGGTGACGTGTTGCCCGGTGTTCCTTCTTTGCGTGTAAGTGTGACTTAATTATCAAATTAATGTTATTTATGTACAAGGAAGAAGGGCCATTTCCCAAAACGCCACCTATCATATTTTTTTTCTTTTAAGACCACAGTGTTATTGACGAATGTGTCGAGTTTTTGTACGTCGATTGTACTCGTGCACCACTGCCAACAGCAGCAGCAGCAGCAGCAAATAATTAGTTTAAAGCGAAAGACACAACGTTTTGTTTCTGTGTTTTTTTATCGTGCACGCTGCACGCACACATCCACGTCCACTCACGAGCGCAGCTATTTTTTAAACAGCTCCATCATCAGAAAATCTGATGGAACAAGAGGCCCTGAGAGTGGCAGTTGACAAACGGTGGGAGATTTGAGGAAGGGGGTCACTCTGTGGCTTCGGACCAAGGTGGGATGTTTCCTACAGATAAGACTTAGGAGTTGGAAAGCCGTACCCTATCAAACGCATCAAGATCTTGGTGTGCGGGGGACTATGAAAAGATTTCACTCTTGCCGGTTGGAATATCCTGGAGAGGCCGTTTGCAGCTGCCTGCCTCGTGCGCGTCTCTACGGACGATGTGACAAACATGCCGGCCAAACGCCCACCGCTGCCCTGATCACATATTTCCCTTTGGGCTCACGGTAATATATTCACACTTTATACCCCCCGTTGTATTTAAACCAGTTTATAAGATATACAAAATAAAGCTTCAGCCCGCATGTGACGCAGTATTCAATACATTATATGGCTTATCTCATTGACAAAAAATAATGTGACTAATTTATATTTTATATTTAGCAGTGGGATGATAAAACACTCATTAAATATTTTACCGGTTACATCATGCCAGGGAAAGGTGTTGATTAAGAATACGTATTTAGTTATTTACCCATTCAATCATTTATTGAGTTGCTGTTGATTCACCGGCGTGCAGACATACGTACGTACATATATCAGGCGTTGTACAGGACACGCTGATCATATGAATCGCCTCGCGTACAATACGGTCCATCTCGGGCGAAAAGAAGAGCGTGAAATAATCTTTGGCGGACTAATGAAAAAAGGAAACTAGCACACAGCTGATTGAAGGAGTGAAAAGGGACACACGGTTGGTACACAATAGTGAATGACAGCAGCGGCAGCAGGCCTGGTTTGATGTAAAGGTCTCAATTTTGCCGTCGATTGAGCTAAGAGGCGGCGGAGAGACTCGTGCCGACACCACGGCCACCACAGATGGAGGCGAGACACCCGATGCTTGCTTTTGAGCCGCCCGCCTCCGGGCCAGTTAAATTATTCAAATTGCCTAAATTATTAAAGCAAGAATATGGTTATGAAGTCATGGTTGGTTCCCGGTGCCCCTCGCCCTGGCCGGCAGTGTCGTGTGTGAATCTTCAGATTTGTAAATAAGAAATGAAAACTTCAGGATGTGGCTGTGACTGCCTTGTCCACTATTAATTCAAGCCTCATGAATGCTTAAAGGCTTGCTTACAGAGTTGTGCTTGTCTACCTGTCGAGGTGGAAGTGACAGCGTGTGGCGTGGCTTTAATCCCACGTGAAGGCCTAATGCTGAGCCCTGGAGCCTTTCGAGTAACTGCCATGAATTTACGGACTGGAGGAAAGCTTCTGGCAAGTGTTAGTTGAGTGTAGGATACAGGAAATTAACAAGGGACAACACTCTTGGAATATTGGCTTCCAGGATGGGAATTGCATGTAACTTGCAATTTAATACTATTTTCCAACAGTAGTTTTGTAAAACGTAAGTAGTATGAAATACTCAAAGTATTTTATATGGAATTCTAGGTAAGGTTGGATATATGTGTATATATACACACACACACACACAGGGTGCTTCATAAAAATGTTAACACTTATATGAGACTATCGTTTTAATGGAAAAAGAACGGATAATACACTGTGACATGATAACAAATGTATGTTAATAGCTTCAAAAAGTCAACGAGTCTCCACTTGTTCACCATCATTGTCTTAGCATGCCTGGAATCTTCTCCAGGTGGTCTCCAGAGCCCGGAGGCACATTTCCTTGTGGTATTGTTGCAAATTCTAAGAAGTGTTCACATTTTTTTGAAGCACCCTTTATGTAATGAATGCCAATTATTTGCTGAGGAAAGCCTCACTGGGTTTGAAGGCTCTTTTTCGTGACACTCTTGCATTGAGATGTTTGGCCAACATGACGAATTAGTAGTATTTGGCACTTGGTAGAAACCCGGAGAACTCTGGGAAACATGGACCCTACGAGGGGGTGACATCTCACACTGACATCTTCCAGCCATCTCGCATCTCCGCCCTCGCAACACCTGGGATTTCCCGGTGGCCACCCAATGTCACCATATACTCACCGGGCTCAGCACTGCTTTGATTCCTGCTCACGGCCACCAACATCGGTGACGATTATCTGAACCGGTGCTGCTACTCGCTAACGCCACTTGCCCCAACAGTCTGTTAGGCTATACGGGGGGTCTTTGTCTTTGCACGATCCATTTCCATTTATGGGCGGAACTGTGTGCTGTGGCATATATTTTGTAAGCACTCCATGTTGTTGAGCTCTTTGGAGATTAGTCTCACATGCGGCAGTGGTGGCTTGTTTTTAAATAAGGCCCTGTACAAAGTGGTCAATAATAAATCACAGTTTGAAAAATCAATAAGCAAAGTGCCCTAGGCCACATTTTTGAAAAAAAGTTCACTGAGGTACACATTTCATATGTACCTGCATCTCTTGAGCATTAGGCTATGTATTATTAATGGAATGTATAAATTAAATAATGTCATTTCATGTTTATTGATGAGCATTTGACACATGCATGTGTTTAAAATAATAAATAAATACAAAATTTGAAATGTCATTAATATGTTTTCATTCGGTATGAGTGAATTCTTTTCACCAATCTCTATATGGTCTATTTTGAGCATGGCAACGGCTAGAATGTGGGCTTTGTCTTTGTATTTATCTTTGTGTTAAAGTGGAGCTGAAGAAAAGTTGAGGATAAGAAGAACGGTGGACGAATGGATCTCAGTTATGAGCAAGGAGATTGAGGTAAGCTCGTTGTTGGCCTTGGTGAGATTTACGCCGGCCAGTGCGGCAGAGCGCAGCACGGCTGGCTATAGCCACCATCGCCGATAATTAGAAGCGAACAGCGGGCACCGACGGGTTTCAGAGATTTAAGTCACCAAAGTCTGCCCAAGTTGTCGGGAGTGGCCAGTTGTTTTTTGTTGCTTTTTTTCCCCTGAAGCTCGGATTAGCATATCGATCAAACGGTGAAAGACGGGCCCACGGAGACGGGTTGCAATGAGAAGGCCAAATTGCATTTCCAGCGCAGGTGTTACTGCGGCGGGTGAACACGTGAGCGAGGAAACAAATACGCATGCAGCCACTCCGGCAGGAATAGTTCACCCAGCGCCGTTCAGGCACTCGGCGATTTAAGAATCGCACGCAACACTTTAATGTGGCTGAGCGCAGACCTCGGCAATTCATTTTTGTTCTCTTGCTTTTTTTGTTTATTCATTTCCCTTGGTCTGTCTCCATCTATCTTGCAACCCTTGTTTCCCATCAGCGGTGCATTAACTCTCGACTGCCATTTTTTCGTCCCGGGAGGGGAGCTGGGATTAAATTTCTCAGCTTTAACTGAAATCCATTTACTGCCACCTGCGCTATGGTAAGACCCTGGGCGTTTCTATGTTGACGGAAGAAAGGATTTGCACCTCATTCCAATATTTTGACCACCTGATTTGCTTGTGGCCTGTACAACAACAGGCTGTCAGTTGTCCTGTGGGTTCATATAAAAACACCAGCGACATTTAACATTGTATTACTTGCAGTGAGATGTAATTTTACATCATTTTCAAGAAGAACGTGCTTATAAGCGAACGCAGGCACCAATTTACTTTTCTGCTTTAGCCTACTGGGACTGTTTATTTTTTCTCTCTCTAAACTAGCACACCGCATTCAGAGGCCGCCTTCATCTCCACGCATCATCCGTGACTGCTCATCTTCCCATCGCAGGAGGAAATTGAGACGGAGACTAAGCGACCGGTCAAGAGCGCTGCCGAGGCCCCGTCTGTTGAGAGGGGCTCGCGACGCAGTGAGCAGCGGTCCCAGGCGAGGCCCCCAAAAGCTCAAGCCCAGGAGCAGCCCCTGCGCCGGGCCCCCGCGAAAACTGCGGCGCCGGCCAAGACTTCCGTGCCGGGTGGCCAGCTGAGGCCTAAGACGAAGAGGAGTCAGGAGTCCACGGTAAGGACGGAACGGTTTCGCTTCATGACAAGGCTGACCTGCCCCCCCCCACCCCCCGTGTCGGCCCCGTCACGGGGGAAGTGGGGCTGCTGTGGAGCGGATCGCTGGCTGGAGTAGCTGATAGGTCGTGGAGGTTGTTCTCGCATTGTCAACCCCGTTGTTTAATGGCCGTTATTGGTGGTGAGGGCTGTTATTTTGTGCCTATTGTGTGTTTCTGTCTAACCTGCGTGCAGCCGATTAGTGTGGCATGTGCTGTGCATCGTGCAGATTGCAATTATACCAAACGTTGTTTTTGCTGTTGGCATTGTGGACGTGACAATGTACCTGTATCCTTGTATTTATTGATATTACCGACATGCCAGCTTCGATATTCTTTCCTTTCACTGTGACATTCATTCTGGTGTTTATCTCTCCGTTGTATCAACTATAACGAGCAGCCATGCATTCGACGGTTGTATTGCACAACAAGGCAGATTAAGAGAAAAAAAAACAATAACCTTTTCACAACAAAAATAAGCGGTTAAGTAAAAAAAAAGCTGGCACGTAAATAATTAAATAAGTTTGCACGATCCACAGGTGCATTCCTCTCAAAACACTGGTACACAGCAAGAGAACACTTATAATCTCGCTCCGACAGATGTTGTCTAGATTGCTTTCCAATTTTAGTAGATAAGAATCGGGCTAATCTACCCGCGGCGTTAATGAGTCGGCCGTTGGTGGTAGCCCCGGTGGGCCTGGCTCGCCGTGAGATTTACTGGGGGATTTCGTGCGCGGTGCGGCGAGAGGCAACGGAAATCGAAAATCCTAATCTCACGCCATCAGAAGAGATTGGTTTCACGATAAAATATGCCTGGCCTGCGATTGTGCGATTGGGCTGAGGTCTGTAAATTGTGGGCCACGCGTGTTGCCGCCAAAATGATCTCCGATGAAGTCCAATGAACGTAAGTGATAAGGTATTTTAATTAATAAATGCACGTTCATCCTTGTGTCTAATTATATATTGTTTCGGGAAACGGCGCATGGTGTTCAGAAGTATGGTGCTGGTGTACCAAGAATGTCTTGCTCGTGTTCGATTGGGAAGAATGCCCCCCTGCGTTCGAGATGCAGGTCCCGGGCTGGGTACTTAGGGACCAGGCCAGTTCTCTCTCTCTTCCTCCGTCCTGTCCCTCGGGTTCCAGGATGGCGTCGACAATAATGAGTTGCTCTTGTGGGTCAACAGGCAGGCTAGATAAGTACCCACCGTGGACACCTAGGTGACAAGGCAGGGGTGTCGAGGGGCACCACCTGACGTGGCCGGGTGCACGTGGGCCCCACCGTGCGTGTGCAGGAGGCCCTGGCGGGCCACGTGTACGGCCGCGGCCTGGAGCAGCAGCCGCGGCGGTCGACGGCCAAGCGCGAACCGTACCTGCGCCTCGCGTCCCCGTCGCCCGTCAGGGCCCGGCGTGCCGCCCCCCGCGTCGTGGAGACTGTCAGAGGTGCGAGTGCCTGTGCGTGTGCGCACGGTCGAGTTTTTCCGGTCACGCAGAAGCCGCGCGCTCCGGCGTGCAAGCTCAGCCGCGAGCGGCCGAACTTGCGAGCTGTGCGGGAGCGACGTGCTGCCGCTCGCAAGCTCGCACTTTCTGCGTCTGTACTTGTGAGTGCACGTTCATGAGGTTTTGATTGGAGATCTCTGCTCGCCGCTCTGTGGAGCTCGCCCAGGCCGGTTGGTTTGTTGGTGATTTTTGTTTGTGCTGTGCAACGCCGTGTGTGGCACCAGGTGGGACCTGCTGAAAGTTTAGCAAATTAGCTTGGTCAACTTTTGAAGGCAGCTATTGCATGTGAATGTTGTGTTTAGACATTTAAAAAATTCTAATTGAATGCTAAAATGAGGAATTGTAACTTATTATTAATAATTTGCACAAATAAGCCTTTACTCCACACCACATCATTGATTTACTTTGCAATGTAGTTTAAATTATTGGTTATAATGTAAATAATTTGTGATAATTACAATATTCCACAAGAAACTAATGTTCAGTTATTGAAAATCACACATTTTAATTGCTTATAATGTTGGAGGTAACTGTTAGGCACTTACATGCAAAATAAAAAATCTTAGTAATTCAACTTGAATATGTTTCCAATTCTCCGTAGAATATGCCCAGTGTGTAAAGGTTGTTTCTCTCCATCTTTTAAACCCCACAGGTACGAAGATACGGTCTGCACGCACTCAGACAAGCCCACCGCGAACCATGCCCTCCGGACCTACCCAGTACCTGTTCAGCCCGAGCAGAGCGCTTTGTCCATCCTCGGGCATCACAGGGCCCACGGAGGGACACCTCATCCCCATGGCCATCCCCCTGGGTGAGGGCACTTCTTGTGGCGTTGCAGACGCGTTGTTTTGGTGACCGTGGTTTTTTGAGGATTGTCGCACTGATATTTCTTTATCAGCGTCACACAGATATTGATTTCGTTGCCGTCACGGTTGTTGCTCGCAGGCCCAAAGGCCCAATCTGCCAGGTGGCCAGCAACAAGCAGCACTATTATAGATTATGGTATTTAAACCTTTTTTTATTGTTATTCAGCAAAGCCTCACTGAGTCCTCATCCTTTTAAATATTTCAGCCATTCCAATAATACGTGTTTAGTATGCAGGAAGAAATTGGACTACTTGGAGAAAACCCATGCATACGAGGGGAGAGCACTCAAAGCTCCGCACAGATCGGTTCATGGGCCCACTTGCTGTACCGCCATCTCCAGGCCACCTAACAGTCCCGCCCATTTCGGAAATTTTCTAAGCAAGTGCGATCCACCAACACTTGCCTCCAAAGTGCTGGGTTACCACTTCTGGCTCATTGCTCAAATAACAATGTCGGCTTATAGAGCATCTAAATGCGACCACAACTCAAGATGCTTCACAAGCTTCTCTTAAGACTAAACTACAGTAATGGTAAAATCAACAGCATAATTGGATACATCATGGCGTGAGGACTCATTTGAACGCGCAGGAAGACGAGCGAGTCTTCAGATGAGACTTAAGCACAGCCAAGGAATGATCATCGTTCTTAAGGTCCCGAGGGACAGAATTTCAGACCCTCAGGAGCCGCAACAGAAAAGGAGCGACCTCCCGTGGAGTTGATGAAATATTAAGTTGCTGGTGTAGTGTCGGCCTGTGCGTGGTTTTATCATGGCTTATTGAATACATCGGGGTGGCTGGTAGTACAAAAGGTCAGCGCGTCTGTGTCTGGTATTCTGGTTTTGCTAATTTCATATAATTCTGTCCCGCTTTTGTAAATGTGATGTAGGAAGCCTTACACGATTATGTAGACATTCTGGTAATTTTTGTGGATGTGGACATTTGTCAAATTGTGCGTGGTAGTGGGCCATTGTGGGCCTGGTGTCATCGGGCAAATTATGGAAATTACCAAAAATTGCACAATTACCAGCTTACTCCGTCCAAAATGCCCGCTGGGTCTAGATTCCCTCTCAGACAAAATGCCTCTCATGCAAAAATTTAGCCTGCGGATTATGTGGCTGGTAAACACATTTGTCCGGAGCAAATGCCATTTATCCGTTTCCCGGAGGCCAAGGGTGAAAGGACAAGTGGTGGCAGAGTGACGACCGCCCCGTGCGTCTGCCACAGCGATGCGAAGTTCAAGTCCGGGCAAAATTCCCCACTATTTCAAAGGGCCCTGTGTACCCAAGAGGGAGCGGGGGGGGGACCTCGTCATGTTGACTCTGCGTCAAAACAAATACCCGGGCGCAAAGTTTGCCGGCTTCTGAGCGAGGAGAACCCTGGTTGCTGACGCGCAAAGTTTATCGACGTCGTGCCGGACCCGTAAGCGATCGGCTGTCGGCGCTGCGCGCTTCTGCCGTCTCGTCGAGGCTCACACCGACGTGAACGTGTCTTGCCACGCTCAGCTCCACGTGCACAGCGAGAGTAACGGATGCACGCGCACGTACGGGGGCCGTGACAGGGCGGGCGCGAGTGCTCGTCTGGCCAGAGTGCTCTCTCCAAGCGGAATAGAGTTATCTCGGCAGGTGTGCGTTAATATTAATGACAATGACGTTGCGCGGACAAATCTTTCAAAACTTTTGACATTTCGCAGACAGCCCCCCAAGCATCTGGGCCCCGTTGCGTTTGAGAATGCGCCGCACACACAGATGCTAACATTTGAATGCGAACGCGGTGCGCAAAGAGAGGCGAGCGAAATGTTTCGAGAATGAGACGCCGCAATAGCTTGCGAGGCTCATCTTTATGTATAGGGCAATGATACAGAATACGAGTATCGGTTACGTCATTGAACGGTATTTAAAATATAGAGCCGTTATGTTCACGCCAAGTTTTGTGCTCATTGCTTGTGCGTTTTTATCTCCATGAGCGTACATGCTCTCTTTTGTTGAATATCCTCTGAGTTTCGTTTTGGTCTCTTCATCGCAGATGGTTTCTCTAATGGGTGCGGTTGTGGCGAATGCGTGCGCGATTTGGTGACCGCTTTGTGTTTTCTTTCCTGGAGCAAATGTAATTCCCCCATTGTGTTGCTTAGTAATCAGCATATTCCCTTGCGCAATAATCCAAGAACACTTATATTTTTAGAACAGCTCACGTTATGGCAGAAAGCTGCGGCACACGTGAAATAATAATATTGTAAAATAAATACACTGAAATCTGTAAGCTTGTTTATGCTCAAAATGATCATCCGGTGGTGTGGGTCTCCTTTAGCAGTGCTGAGCTCGTCACGGATGCTCCATCTTTCTGTGGTGGGAACCACGCTTAATGACCTCCAGAGCGGTGGCGGTGGGGCTGAAAACCCAGACTAGGATTTGAACTCATGACCTCATTATTGGGACACCAACTGGGCTACACGCTGGTCGTTTTGTGCAAATTAAAGCACGTGTGTACATGTAGTGCATATACCCGCACGAGGGGGGCACCCTGCTCTAGAGAGGTGAGATTTACATTCTCGCATCGTCTTGATTTCAGCTGAAGATGTCTTCACGAGTCCGGCATATTTTTGTTCCGTTGACGAACGTTCCTGAATTTTTCCTTTTTTTTTTGCTGCTCAGTAAATTACCGGCAAGGTTTTTTTGGGGACGTGTACAGTGTGTGCTACTTGGAGGTTAATGTTCTTAAGGTGGGCTTTTGAGGTGAGTATGAAAACGCCGCACTGCTCTCCTCGAGCATTTAATCAGCCACGGCTTCCAAGCAATGTAAAGGTCAGGCACGCACTGCCAAGTAACCCGCGGTGCAAGAAAATGGGAGAGGCTTGCACCTTGGCTGTGTGCGAATCCCTGAATACTGATGCGCCGGCCACACAGGCCCCTCAATTCACGCCTGCATGGCAGACGTGAGCTTGCAGCACACGCACGCACACAAAGACAAAGATCCCCCATACAGGTTCGGCAGTCTCTTGGGGCAAGTGCTGTTAGCGAGCAGCACCTATGAAGACCGGCACGGCACGTGAGGGGGCGGGCAGCACCACGCCCGGCCGCCTTTGTTTCCCCAGTGGCGATGTGTACACACCGCACCAGGCACTCATTTGAGATTGAATTGACCGAGGGAAGGCCCAGGACCGATTCAGACAATCGTCATTAGTGTTGGCCATGAGCGGGAATCAATCTCGGGTCACTGGGTTCGTAGCGCAGTGCGCGAATGTTGCACAACCGCTCCCCATCCACACACGCACACACACACGTACACGGACAAGCGCGCACGCTCACTCGCTCGCTTGCTCACAACAGCTCCCAGCCCTTGTTTACTGCTGCACAAGCCTGCAAGTCCTTTTGAAGGAGTTCATGGCTTTCTACCGACTAATTTGGTTGCTTAATATTTGAAAAAAAAACCTCTTAAGATGTAGCGCTCCAGCACGTGTTATAGCATGTATTTCACTCGATGGTTGTTGTCTCTTTAGCAATAAGTGATCATTTTCTCCAATATCTTTTTTATTTTCATGACCTCTTTAAAAGCTCCTTTGTGTTTTGACATGCTCGGCCACTTATAATCAACCTGAATAAGTAATGCTCATTCCACTGCCATGTTTTGCATTGTGTTTTACTCATTTGTTGATCTGGCCATCCACGTGTTTTTTTCTGAGTCCGTCTTCAGATAAAGCCCCTTTCGATCTCTTTAGTGTTTTTTTCTTCTGCATCCGCTTTGCCCGTCTTCTCTGTATTGCTTGGGGACAGGATGAGGATTGGGTATGAGGGTGGTGTGCTGGGCGTTCCATATTTAGCTGGTAATCTGTCTCTACCGGCTGCTGGCTGTCGGGAGCCTGCATTAGGCAAGGCGGCATGGTTCTTTTTGGGCCGTGGCACAGGAAGGCGGGCGGGCGGGCGGGGAGGCGGGCGTCGAGCAGGCTGGAGGGAGGGCAGACGTGCAGGCAGCCATCAGAAAGCTCTTCATTATCTCAGGTCACGCTGCCGGTTTCCCCGGCAACAGGCTCTGTCGCCGGGGCAACGGTGCCTCGCTCATCTTGAGGCTGAAATGCCACGGATCTGCGCCCGCCCACGCTCTTCCAATAGCACTCTCACGGCCATCGCAGATCAACCCCATCCCCTGCGCCACAACGCCCACCTCCCTCCTGTTCGCCCACTCTCGCGCCAGCCACTCATGCTCCAACCGCCCACTCTCCCGTCTCGGAGGCTTTGTCCTTTGCAAAAGCTTGGCCCTGGAAACACCTCGTAAACACACCTGCCTCCGCACGCCGCCGTCGCTGTCTTTTTAATTAATTTACATGCACACATGCACACACACACATATACGCGCTGGGGGTAGTTGAAAGGTTTTGAGAACAGGATATTAAAAACATACGCAGACTCACACTTATTACTCTGTTTTTCAATATAGCGATCCCTTACAGCGGTGGACTTATTTTGTTATGTATGGAAAATGAAGGGGTGTCTTCGAAATGAGGTTGCTGAGATGCTAGTGTCACCTTTTTTGGAGTGTCTCGTTCTCAAATATTTTTGCCACCCGCAATAGGCAGAGTTATATGGCTCCGCGCTGTTCGCTCCAATAAGTAAAATATTAAACATTCTCCACGGTTATGCAGTGCATTTCTCAGACACAAAACAATTTAGCATATGCAACACATTGCATTGTTATATATTTTTGTTAGGCAAATAAAAACCTGATGAAAATTTGTTTCAAATATCCCGATGCAACGTCACAGTTACTATCTCCAAGACTATTTTTTTTCAAGAATGCAGGTACACAAAGTGGGTAACACTTTTTAGATATTGACGCAGTGTCACGCAGAACAATTACATTTCACTTGTTTGTCTTTACCAAGGTGCATTAAAAAGAATGTCAATACAACATCGCATGGTTCCAGTCATGAAATATTAACGGGAGAATGCTCCGTCATGGCTAATAGGATTTTGCATGAAAAGAAAAACAGGAACGTATTATCAGCATGCTCCTGGAATAAAGGATGCAAAGAGGTTACAATCCGTAGCTGCAAGGAATTCAAATGATCTCATTAGGAGCCTGATCAACGGGAAGCAGCCAGCAGCGTTCATTCTCGTTACTCGTCAGAAGCATCGCCCGACCCTGCCGCTTTGTGTAGGTTTTAAAAGAAAAATCAGTGAATAAATTGTTGTTGTTGTTTCACCCCAACCAGGAGCACCGAGGAAAGACGGGCCTGTCCCACAGCCGTTTGCCGTCACCATCGCGGGCCCTCCGCGGCCGGTCACCGTGACGACCTCGGTGCCACCCTCCCCGCGCAAGCGGCGTGGCGGCGGCGGCGCCGTGGGCGTGAGGCCCAACGTGGCCGTCGTGGAGATGAGGTCGGAGAAGAGAGAGCCCCCGGTGCTGTCAGTGCAGGTGCGCGAGTGGGAGAGGGTGGGCTCCCTGCCGTGCGCGCTACAGCAAGCTGCCAAAACACGTTTAGAATTACAAGGCCAATTCCTTTTAATGAAATATTGTTCGGCGTTTTTATGTTTGCAGCTGCAAACATTTTTTTTCATTTGGAGATGGTGATAGAGACCCCATGTTGTTTTGAATAATGAAAACACAACAACAAAAACTGTGCCGTATAAAGAAAGCCCGACTGTTTATTTTTCCATTTCGTTTTGTTTCAGAGTAAGGCGTTTGTGATTACCGCCCTCTGAATGAAGACCAAAAACACCATCTGTAGGCCCATAAAAAAAAACACGCTGCTGAAAGAATCGCCTGATATAACCGTAGTTTGGAATTGAAACTAATGGTCACTCAACATTTTTTGGTCAAATCTTTTTTCCTTACTCCTGGGCAATCCTCCAGTAACATTGTTGATTTTTGTTGTTGTAAAATTCATCATGTTTGCACAGCTTTTGAGAGCAACTCATTTTATTGGAACATTTTGCAAAGTGTATGGAAGTAGAAACTCGTTAGCAGACATTGTCGGCAATTTTTTATGCAGCCCGGGCCGTTTAAACTCTCATAGGTTACAGTTCACATTCGTGCAATGCTTCATAAATGCTCGCATACACAGTGAATGCTTTCCCAAACATTGCACGAGTAGCAGCAGTAGCGTGTAAAAGTGTCCTTGTGCCGGAGCCATAGAGAAACGCTTTGTGCTCCTCTATTCCCAGGTTTTGCCAAACGTGGACATTGAGAGCGTGGTCAGCAGCAGCAGCAGCAGTCCGCCTCAGAGGGACGCATCCCCGGAGCCTCCAGCACGGACGCTCCCTACGGCAGAGGGAGCTCCACAGGTACCGAGTCCTCTGCGCGTCCGCGGCGGCCGAATCAAACCAGGCCCCGACCGCCTGACGCGGCGGTGGTGAACTGGGGCACGCAGCGCAGGGCCTGCAGGGTGCCTCGACTGAGCGTGTGTTTGGAGCCTCTGTGGTTATTTCATTCAAACAAACAAAATGCGTTGCTTTTGCAGCTCCAAATTCGAGCGTTCTTTTACGGCACAAGCTGTATCATTTTCCCACACATGAAGTGGCACGGTCTGATGGATTGCACAGGGCATCGTGTTTATTTTGCCTTCCTTGCCGCTACAGTAGTTTACGTTTTATTTTTGTGCCCGTGCCTGTGAACTCTTATGCTTCTGGCAGCCTCCAGATCTGAGCGAGAGGGAGGATGGCTTTCCTGGAACAAGCTTCATCAACGTCACAGACCTGCCCCAGGTCTGTAAGTTTGCGCTCACGCGTGAGAGGCTCCAGTAGAGCGAGCTTCAGAGAGCCGACCTCGAGAAGATATTTTGCCCGCTTTTCCACGCAGTACCGTTATGAATGGACACAAATTAATTTCATTCCAACTTCAAAACTTACATTTTTTAAAATGAAAATTACTTGAATTAATATTTTACATAGTTTAGTTTTTCAAAGGCCATTGATTGTGCGATTTTGTTGCGATTTGCTTTGCAAATGAGGTCACGTTGGCTAAACATTTTTGTTTTAAAGTTCTGTTGCAATGAGAATTTGAGGAAATTGGCACTTTTTTACATTTCCCAACGCACGCCTTGGAACAGCTTTGTATCATCTCGCTAATGCTTTCTATTACGTCCAAAAAATGTGTTACCCTTGTGTGCATAAAGTCTAATCTCAGCCTCCTCGAATACGCAGCCAGACGTCTAGACACCCACGTACATTTTTGGTAGTCTTTGAATGAGAGTGCGATTCAACTTCGGGGTGGCAAACAACCCACCATTCAGAGCCAATTCCCTCTGCCAGAAACAAAAAAATGAAAGCCTCTTTATTTTTTCCGAATTCCATTTTCTGCGGTTTCATGGGACAAGCCTCACCAAAGCGGGTTGTTGTTTTTTTTTCCTTCCACCGATGCTATTTCCCCGCCCACCCCTCCCCCCCCCGGGCTGCCGGCACCACCACCACCATCCTGCCGCCGCCACCTCCTGCCCCTGCCCTGGGCCTCCCTCGAGACCAGCCGGGGCAGGCGATTGATGCCAAACTGTGGCTCTCGGGCACAAAGAAGAGGGGGTGTTTTGTTTCGGCTTCATTGGTATTCCAGGTTAGCGGGATCGGCGGAAGCCCAATGGCGCGACGGTGTTTTGGATGCGAACTCCTCTCAAGTTCACCTTTCCCAAAGCCTCCACAGGGGCTCCTGCCATTGCCCGCTCGTACAACGATGCATTCTGTACATCCAAAAGGGAAAATAGAGCAACTGAAATAAACTTTTGAAATGTCGTTAAAACCATTGACATTTTTAAAGGGTTTCCCCCCCCCCCCCCCCCGTGGGCAAGATAAGACCGATACCCGTAAAAGAAGTGTGGAACAAATACATGACATGGCTTAACCTAGCGATAGCGATGGAATACAGATGTGCCTTGAATGTTCAGCGAACCCTCTGCGGGCAGCGCTTCTCCCTTCATGACTCGTCTACAGGCATCTGGCGTCAACGTGATTCACATCGGCTTGTGAAAAATGTCAATAGCGCTAAGCAGCACAACGAGGGATATACGTGGCAGTATTTTCTATGTCAAACTAATTTTGAAACCTTGTTATTTCAAGAAATGAATCACCATGGTGTTTTAACGTAATAAATGCCACGCTTAATATTCAATTTCCGAGAACATTTGAGTTAATAGGGCCAGGGCATAGTAAGTAGACTATTGTACTGTATTGAGTGGCAAGTTTTCCTGTAGGGCAACACTGAAATATGACCGATGTCTGCTTTTACTTCAACATCGCTTGCACGCATTTCAATTACTTTTCACGTGGGGAAAAATATTCACGGTAATAATATATTCGGTGAGTAAAAAAAAATGTTATTCTTCATTTGTATCATTCTAGGGAATTGAGGCAGAGGAGGAGTTCTCTGACGGCCCAATCATTGAGCTGAATGGCTACGCCGAGTCTGACTTGGATCCCACGGGGGCCCCCAGCTTCCCGTACAGGGCCCCGGCTCCTGTGGCCCCGCGGGTGGACGTTGAGTTGAAACTGCGTCAGCGGGACCCAACGCACGGCCAGCTGCTCATATGGTACAGTGGGGCCCTTCCTGCCTGTGGCGCAGCCTCGACACAACCTTGTGGCCGTCACCGGCAGTCTACTGCAATTCTTCACGCGGTGCTGTTCACCAAAGTTCCATTCAGTGACCTTTAGTAAACCAAGACCCTTAGAGATTAATGCTGTCCTTTGCAAAAGGCACCCCGATGAAAATAGTTACAGAGAGACATTGTGTTTTCCTGTTTTATTTGCGGATAAATAGAAAATGAATTATTTGGACTGTGATGCTCACGGACGACCGCATGCTTCTTTCAACGGTGTCACCGTGGTCGCTCACATTTACTTTACAGCTTTAGTAACTTTCCGTAGATATAAGAGGGGCGGTTGCAGATACTTCCTGGTTTTTACGGCGAGCGCGTTGACCGCGTGGCATTTTTCTGTTTGGCCATATTTATCTGGTGCCCACTGTAAACATGAACCTGCATCGTGTAGGGACAGGGTCATGGTCGAACGCCTCTGTTATGGAAACAGAAGGAGCGACGGTTTTAGTCCTGCGTGGCTTACTGGAGTACTCTGTTCACCCGGTGGCTTGAAGTGGCGTCAGAGAAACCCACGTGCGCACGGGGATGTTTACGGCCCGGCACGAAGCGACGCAGCCCAAGGTCACACCTGCGTTTTTTTTGTGTGCGGGACCACGTCCTCCCACTCTGGTGCCCCATCTCGGTCGCCCCTCGTGTGTCTGTTGGGGTTTAGGGTGGAGCAGGAGCTGATGGCTCGTGTCGTGTCCGAGCTGCTGCCCCGTCTCCAACGGCAGCGGCAGCAGGAGGAAGCCTCCGAGTCGGAGAGTGAGGAGGGCCGGCCGTATGGATCTGACATCGGTAATGGCACCGGGGCAATCGTAACTTATTAGCGAAGCGCAGAATCGATTCCCAATTTCTGGGAATGAAGATTGCTCGATTCTGGGAAGTGGATGGTGTGGTCTATAAATATCTCTCTCTTCCAGCCCAAGAGCTGCTGACTTGCAGACAAGTTTGTGGAATGATCGGTATGCCCGGTTGCTTTGTTTTGATGTAAAACTGCTGTGCTGAGGGTAATTTCATAAACATCTTTAAATTTTCACTCGACTGTAAAATTATTTATGTGAAGTGGAAATGCACGTTTGTTACAATTAATCTCTGCAAAAGAAAGTTTTTTGCTGATAGTGTAAGCATGTGTGTTTTTTGTCAAAGCAAGTTGGCGTCTCCATGGATTTCTATTGATCCTTCTGAAGTGTTAACAATCGGCTTCTTCTTGACCTGCCCCGAGCGCTGCACACACACCCTTGTATGCAAACACACTCTGGACCCACACCCCCCACAGCACTAACAAATGCCCTCTCTGTTTGCCGACTCAGCAGTTCCTTAAGTGCGCAGTTGCAGGATTCTTAAGATTGTTTGCTCTCGCTGCTGTAAAGGGGTGCATTCTTTAGTGGCGGGAAATTGTTTCATCGCTGGACCCTCCTACCTCGTCACCGCTGCTGGAGGAGACACGTGCCCAAAAGCTCTTTGCCCTGATCTATTTTGTTCCACAAAAATGCTTAATTTCCAAAATAGACAGCGGAGTTTAGTAACCCCCCCCCCCCCCGGCCCCTTTTCACTTTGACCGAGTGGATGGAGTTTGCCGGATCTATTGTACAGGAACACCAAATAATCGTGAAGCGTCGTGGAGAAAATATATGTCACAAAATAAATTAATGGACAGTACGCCTCGTATTTGTATCTCCACAAATAAGACATCCCTTCAGAGAGGCCATTGGTTTAATACAAGCAAACTCTGGACCGGTTTTGACATTCAATCTCTCATCAGCCTACATAGCCTACAGAGGCTATTGGGGTACGTGCTGTTAGTGAGCACCTATCAAGGTTGGTATACTGATCAGAAACTCAGTTTTCAGTTTTATTTATTAGGTATAGCCCTGTGAGTCATGCGGCTCTTGACTTGGGTGCATGTGTGCGCTGTGGGTGTGTGCATGCCCTCGTGTGTAGTGGAGGTGGTAGTGTAGCGCTTAGCGCGCTGCACTACGAACCTGGCAACCCATGTTCGATTCCCACTCACGGCCAACACAAGTGACGATTATCTGAACTGGTCCCGGGCATCCCTTAGGTCAACTGAGTCTCAAATAAGTACCTGGTGTGGTGTGAAAACATGGCCACTGGGGAGACAATGGTGGCCGGGCGTGGTGTTGGCCACCGACCGCCTCGTGTGCCGTTCCAGCCTTCATAGTGTGCTCGCTAGCAGCACTTGCCCCAACAGTCTGTTTAGGCTATACGGGGGCTCTTTGTCTTTGCAGTGGAGGCAGCAGGGCGGTGGGGGCCTGCAGCTGTTTGTGGACGCGGGGCTCCCCGTGGACTCGGATCTCGTGCGGGCGCTCGGTGGCCGAATCGTTGGCCGAGGTCGTCGCCGTCACCCTGGGTCAGCGTCCCGACGCGGGGCCGGCGAGGCAGGCGGCCCGGTCGCCCCCCCGAGCGCGCTCACCGGTACGGCGCAAACGCCGCGGTGACCACCGCTCCACGCGTTTCTCTCGTTCTGCTCACTGAGCGGGGACACGTCTTGTGTTGTATTTATTTGGCCATGTATTTATTATCAACTAGGCACGTGAATTAAAATTGATTATTACGCTCACGATACGTGAAACAACTCACGTAAGGGTGGATTATTTTTACTTCGTGTGCATTACAATCGGTTCATGTGACCAAGACACGCAGTCACGGGAGATGCTGCATTCACTGCAGTGATAACAAAAGCATTGATTGTTGAATAAAATAACAACCCCGAGTCGTGACAATTCATGGAATTGCAAGGGGGGGGTTGAATTATTAATTCCTAGCAGCATTAACCATTACCCAGTGCCAGTGTTTATTCCTGACCAGGGCAAGTCGTAGCCCTAACCCTAGCCATGAGTTACAGCAAATCATAACTCTGCATTCACCATGAAGTCAATTATGTTTTTTATTAGACCGGCGCCACAGTGTTATACCGACTCTAGCTTTTTCCTCCCCATTCGTGAGATAGTAGCATGAATTAACGCTCGCCAGTTTAGCCTCTAATATTAGTGCTTTATCTTTATTATCAAATAAATTAAACACCGGGGTAATAATATGTGAGCTCGTGCCTCATCTGCATGTCTCTGTCTATCCCTGCATTCTAATGATGATTTTAGGATGACAGATAAACATATTTACATATTCACTTGTTTTTAAAATTCTGAATTCCAATGTATTTTTTTGTCAACCTATGAATAATCTGAAAAGCCTAATTACATTGACGTGTTTTCTGGGAATCTTACTGTTATGATTTTAACGTTTTTGAAAAGGCATTTCTTTTCATGTCATCACCTACGTCTAAAAAAAACCCTCATTCATAGCTATAGATTTCCATCCAAGCCAAGTGAGAAAAAGGTTTTTTTTTTCCTCACAAAGGTGTAAAATTAAATAAAAATGCATATTAAAACGTGACAAAAAAAAGTGGGGAGAGAAATGAGCAGCCCAAAACTGATCAAAAACATGGTGCCGTAACAAGGTTGTAATAAGACAAGGTTTCTCTGTTTCTAAGACAAGGTTTCTCTGTTTTTCCACTCCCGCTGCAGTGTTCATTGTAGCACAGCGTGTTCCAGCCTGCGTTAGAGCCATGACGGGTGTAATTGCTGGCTCTGAGAGTGTATATTGCAAGAGGCGTGTGTCTGGTGGCATTGTAGAGCCAGACATCAATTGGGTAGGGTTGTTACAATTTCATTGCAAAACTAGATTTTTTTTAATGAGCCACTGTTCCTTTTTCCGTCACTTTGTGCGAGTGTTTTATTTTCGGAGCTCTATAGTTTTATATGAGAGCCGCCCGCGGTTTAATGGTGAGCAGACGCGACTTGCAATCCAGACGTCGCCGATTCGATTCCATCTTCCGGGCGGCGGCAGTCGAAACAACGGGGCGAGTTTTTTTTTTTTACATCTTCCCGCCTCTGCCCACTAAGCGATACAAATGGGTTGACACACAGTGAGTCGAACTGCAGGCCGCATGTAGTGAGCTAAAGTGTGAGTACGCCTACCTCTTTCCAACACGTCTGGTCAACGTGGAAGAATAGACCAAATACCCTCTTGAGTTCGCTCTAGCGGAGGCCCGTCTGCCAGGCGTGAGCAATTTCAGGCCTGCACCTTTACATTTTATCTGTAGATTTACATATGGTACATCAGTGTACACAATTGTAAGTGATATTAATATGTAAGGTACCGTATTGGTGAGTGGAATACAAAGTTACTCCATATGCATTGGTAATGTCATGTAATTAATCGGGAAGCGGGGATATATTATCCGTGAATTTAACACCAGGTTAAACACGTGACGCCTTGCACAATTGCTCGTGTCAGATTGCATCCACTAAGTAAATTACGTCAGCTCTCATTATCTCAGCGAGGGCCGATTGCAACATTGAGCATCGTCATCCTGTTGTAGCCACTGCTTACGGCTATATTCTGGAGATTAATTTGGAAAACTACCTGCAGGTTTGACCGCATTTAAATTTGATGGTATGAATACACGTTTGCTGGATGGGAATCTTAAAAAGCCTCCAAATCACAACGCATATTTCACGAGCGATGGGCGGAAGGGAGTCAAACCCCTGGAGGGAGACATTGCAGCCAGTGGCAGTGGCTGCGCGAGAAGAATTAGTATTCCTCGTGACGAGCAGGTTATGCACAACCCCGCTCACACGCGGGGCCAGACTCACATCCTGTTTCTGTCATTGCCTGCGGTGATTAAATCCAGAGGGCGGCATACGCTGCCCATTCCTGCTCCAACGCTGCCATCTGGTGGTCACTGGTTCTCTGCCTTTCTCATCTTCCCTCCACAAGTCACTGGCAGGAATGGAATCGTGGTGTCTGTAAGCAACTTACTCGTTTCATTTTCCCAAGCTGCTCCCGGCAGGCCACGTCGCAGCTTGGCACGAGTGACACATTTGAGCGGTGAGGGTTGGGGTGGAGGGGGGGCGGGCGGGCGGGCGGGCGCAGTGTTATGAGACGCTCACGACCCCGCCGGTCCGACCCCGCCGCTGGTAACCTACTTGAACGTTCGTGTCGCGCCCCAGCCCCGCATGGTGCCCACGCCGCTGCCCACCCCCCAGCACACCCCTCCCCGCGTGCCCTCGCCGGACGCGCGCGCGGATGCCCCTCGCGTTCGCACGCCGGTGCCGACGCCTCGCACATCCCTCTCGGAGTCGGAGGAGTCGGAGGGCATCCCGACTGGCCCAGAGTTGGCACAAGGTCAGTGTTTGCGTAACCCTAAGGTTGGGTATCGTGCGCTCGGCCAGGCAGGGCATCGCATATCGCCTGGCGAGCATGCTGCGTTCACCTGGCCAGGGTCTCACACCGGTCCCATTGCTAGGATACTACGCAGGTTGCGTATTCTACTGTTTCATTATCGCTCAGATTTCTGGCACGTATGATCTACTCAAAGTCTGACGAATACGGCGGCTGGAATTACACGACCAGTTTGGCAAAGTATCACCCGTTCCTATTACGATCCAGCCCTACCCGGACAGCAAGACCCTTCTTTATAGCGATCTCCAGAGAGCTTGTTTGCCTCCTGTGTTTTGTTGTTTTCAAGGTCAATTTCACTTTATGATATACACTCTTTCCCATAATTATCAGTATTCATTAAGTACACGTCACTGTTGAAGTGTAAATTGCACACATTACAATAGGTCACCAAAGCATAGTAATCAATTGTCTGACATGCACATTTGTGTTAAAAGTGGTGAACGTAATGCCAAAGCTTAGTAAAGAATGGATGGTTACAAAATTATGGCACACACGGTATATCACCATATAATCACGATAACCTTTATTTACCCATTAAAACCCCACTTTCTCTCAATACCAATTTTCTGGAAGGTTTGGCATTGAGATGTTCGGCCAAGTCCATTAAATGTGTGCTTGGCATATGGGAAGAAGCCAGAGTACTTGGAGAAAACCCACACATACGAGGAGATAACAGTGAAAGCTCCACAGAATTAGATTCATTTAGCTATTTCTGTGCTACCATCTCCTGGCTCCCTTGCAAACCAAGATTACAATGCCTGGCATTCCCAGGCAGTCTCCCATCAGGCTTAAACATCCGGTGGTAATTTGGTTGTTGGGTGAATGTGAATAAAACAATAAAAATAATTCCAGCCATTCTCAAGATAATGTTGATTTGAAGCTTTCGTGACTGCAGGAATCCATACTCTTTGGTTCTTTCGGTAAAGTCACGTAGGTATAAAATAAAATAAATCACGACGTTTCGGGCGCAACACAAGCATCCATCATCAGGTGGTGATAGACGCTTGTGTTGCGCCCGAAACGTGATTTATTTTATTTTATACCTACGTGATACTTTTCGATGAAGGCCTTTCCACATCGTACGGACCATGGGGGTGTTTTGACCATATTTCATCACACTGGTCAGCGTGAGCGGGTAAAGGCTGGTGAGGGAGTGCAGGAAGTGATCTGATATCACTCACCATTGCAGTGCAGGTTCGTCGTGCAGGGCACTAACCATCGTACCACCGCTCCCCCCCCCCCCCCACCCCTGTGATCACGCGCAGCAGAGGGCCCCCTGCCGGTGGTCATTGTGGCGGTCGCCACGCCGGCGCCCAGCCCGTCCCCTCCGGCCTCCGCGAGGGCCCCCACCCCCGAGCCCCTGCCGACCGCCAACCCTTGGGGGGACGCAGAGCTGCCCCTGGAAGAGGAGAACCCGAGCCCGCGGCCCAAAGAGTCGCCGCGTCGCCCGCCCGTGTGAGTGTCGTCAGCAGCTCGGCGTCACCCGAATTACCCGTGGTCCCGCGTTGGTATGATCACGAGGGGTGGGGGGAATCTCGCTGATCCGTGATGTCCTTCTGAGCAAGAAACCACCGTGGGCTTCTGTCCTCCGAGCGCCGGGGCAATGGACACCTCCCGTTCCGCTGCTCTCACAGCATTGTTACTGTTACCAAGAAACCAACTTCTCGCCGTTCTAAAATGAACCTCCTTTTTTGTAGCGAGAATTCTTTGGCAATGCATTGAGATGCATCTCATGGCAGTGAAATGTTGCGCAGTGTGGAAGAGACTTACACGGAGCGTGGTGTCGGGGCGCCCTCTGGTGTCGCGAGCGGAGGCGTTTTTACAGAAAGTGCAGCGTTCTGCTCGTGCCTCTCTTGTTTGTTGTTCATCCCCGGATTGTATGACGATTGGACTCGGGGCATCATGTCATGAGATGTATACAGTTCCATTTGGAACTCTCCCAGATAGCAGCGCACCATCTTGTAGCAGAGCATGGCGTCAGAAGATGACAAACCAAAACTACTTCTGAAGTCGTCAGGCCAAGCAATTTTTTTACAAATTATGTCTGTCACCGTAGAATTTGGAGGTGGTTGCCATTTATAAAAGGTCAAAATATCTGAACGAAGAAAATAAAAAACATTTTATCGTCACTTTATTTACTTATTTGACCAATCTTCCCAACTTCGCTATCCATGTACGGTGACTACAAGCGCATGTGTACGCTACAGACATTGTGCTCCTGTGTGTGCGTATGTTAGGGAAACAAACGTGGCCGGCTGGTCGCGGTGCTGGCCTCCCACCCCCTCATGTGCCGTGCCGGCCTTCATAGGCGCTACTCGCTAACAGCACTTGCCCCGACAGTCTGTTAAAGCCTACACGGGGGATCTTTGTCTGTTGTGGGCACAGGGTGATGTCGGTGCAGCGCGAGGAGGAGCCCACAAGTCTGGTGGGGCCCCCAGTGCCCAGCCCGGTCCCCGTGACGCGGTCGCCAACGCCGCCGCCGCCACCGTCCCCTTCGCTGTCCCCACGCTCGCCGCTGCCACGGGAAAACACCCCCAGCAGCTCGCTCATCTCCATCACCGAGACGGAAACCGGCGACAGAAACTTCTCGGACGGCGAGATCCTGGTCAGCTACAACCGCATCCTGGCGGCCCAAGGTGCCCGTCGCTCCCGGCACGCCACGTCACCTCGTGCGCACGGCACGCTCGGATCCCCGTGTCACCGTCCGCATCCATCTCCCAATAACGCGATCATTCTATCAGTGACCTTTGTTTAGAATTTCAAGAGAATCGTGGCTTTTATGCAATACCATAGCAGTGCCTCTGATGTCTAAAAGCGTGTGTGTGTGTTAATCAGCTTCGCCATGGTGGCGAGATGCTATCTCCCTCGCCGACCCTGACGCCTATATATTTGGAGTTTGCATGATCTCCCCGTGGTCGCGTGGATTTTTCTGCGGTTCCTCCGGTTTTTCCCTCCTCATTTAGAAACATGCGTTTAGAATATTTGGCTACTATAATTTTATACATGTTAAGCCACTTCGTTGAGCTATCATTGTAGCCAGGCTGCTTCTGAAAAAGAGCTATAGAGTTCAGTGGGCCTTACCTGGCAAAAAATTTTTTTTCATAGTTTTAGTTTTGAACATATGCATGAAGGCCTCGCCATGACATGTTGGTCATGGGGATTGATTAATCATACTTCACCACGCTGGTTAGTGGGGGTTGGTGAATGGGGGGGCGCAGGATCGGTTCAGTTATCACTCGCCATAGATGTTAGCTGTGGCTGGAAATCAAACTCAGGTGGGTCACTGTAAAATTACTCATTTTAAATTCTTCATATTCTATGTAAATGCATCTCGCAACGTATTCCTTCAGCATTTACACCAAATCAGCCAAGCATCATAGGTCCTAAGAGTAGTGGGATAAACTGTTGCGCAGCTGCCTTGTGTGAAGTAAAAATTTGGTCGAACAACTTTGAAATGGAAGCCCTACCTGGTTGTGTACGTTACCTGCAGTGACCGTGCTTTTGTTCTTACGTTTCTGTTTCTGCCCGTAGCCCTGGCAGAGGAAGGAGTCACTTTGGTGAATGGTGTGCCCAACCTCTCCAACACCTTACACGACGTGCAGGACATGGTAAATCACCAGCGCGACATTTGTTTTGGTAATCGTGTGGTATTGTCCCTCTCCTCCTCCCCACCACGTGTCCAGTGTCAGCTATTTCAATAAAGTGCTGGCGCCCTCTGCTGGACCGAGCTTTTGAATGTGGCAAACACGGTGGATAGTCGGCTTGTCACGTTTCATCATCGATCCATTCACGTGGTTATGCTCGCGATGCACACGCATCAAATGCGTGCGGGTAAAAATCGACTATTTAAGGTTCGTGCAAATTCTACACGAACCTGGCTCATTAAGTGATTGAGATGGAATAAACGAGACAGAAATTAAGCCGTCAAGAAACGAGGCAAATGAGATGGACGGTCAAAACAAGACAAAGGTAATAAACTATTGAATGGAATCGCGACCCCCTGATTGTGGAAATCCATCGAGTCGCCGGGTGGGTTTGGCCGTGGCGTTCACCACGCCATGCCCGGTAGACATCGCCCGGTGGGCTCGTGCCGCGCGCTCAGAGCGTCGAGCCGTTCATCGTTTGGTTGCTCATTTGTCCAGGGCACATTCGGTGAAATGACTTGCTGCTTTTCCCAAGCGAGGTTTAAACTAAACAAAAACAATAGTTTTGTTTTAATAGTACGTCTACTTGTAAACATTGAAGTGAAAAATAACCAAACATGTGGCAGATGACACGAGAGAATTGTTGTCAATGATGCACCCCGCTCTGGCGTGCGCGGATCCGTACGTTTTGATACAACAAAATATTAAACAATATCACGGATTGCGGCCCACTAACGGTGTATCAGCCTCAACAGCTGGAGTGGGATGCACGGTGATGGAATGAATAATTTTCTCACGTGTTGTCATGAAATAGGGGACACTATCCCTGAATGTATTCAGGTTGAGTATACGAATAACAAATTGGTTAACAAGCCGTGTATTTAGTTTGGCATAATAATAATTGTATGCATTTTATCATCCGACCAGATGGCATTTTCTTGCCACCTTCATGTTTGAGCTGTCAGCTGATCGTTCCGCAGCTTGTCCACCAGGGGGCGAGTGATGAACACGCATGGCTAACATTCTTTTTAAAAAAAATTACACGAAATATTTTTATTCCACAGCCTCCCTCACATCATACAATGCAACGTCCTGTCGTTCTGGACGGCATTACCAGCGACATTGGCGGCATCATCAGGCACACCGGACTCATCAGAGCTGACGGGGGTGGGGGGGGGGGACATGGCTCACGTCTAAAGAGCACAGCTATGCACAAGCCGGCCGTTGCCTTTGATCACGAGCTCACGATTAGCCATGTGACGATTCATTTATAACAATTAACCAACTCGCACAGCGAGATTTTTAAATGTACTGTCTTGTTTATATGGTGTTGTTTACTCCACTGCTTTAAATGTAATTATCATAGAAATTGCATACATCAGACAGAATTAGCTTTTACATACGTGACTCGATGCAAGTGTCGTGCGCATATCCATCTATTTATATATATATATTTACACTATCTAACCCAAAAAAACCTCGTATGGATGATATTTGTCGCGAAAGCCTACGTGTAAAACTGACATCTGTTTTGATCGATGGATCTTTACGATTTTATTTCGAAAGCATTTCTCTCTCTCCTTGGTTGGTGAATATCACCCAGGTGCATCCTGTTCAGTGGGAGAAAACAAACTGTCTGGATACCAATCCAGTAATTTAAGAGCGGTAGCCACTCGGAATATCCCTCCACCCACCTGCTGGAGTCGTGGTGGGCGATAACGAGAGTAATTGACACACACAATGGTCGGGACACCACGTTGATGATCGATTGCGCCTCCACGTTGCCTAGGGCCAAGTGAACGAAGGTTGTCTGAACCATATTTCGCCGTGCTGGTTGGTGAAGGGTGGTCCTAGACGAGTTCGGATATCACTCACCACTGATGTTATGACATCACCAGACACACAGCGCAGTACGCGACCAACACCACCACTGCACCCAACTAGGGCATGTCATCATCAGCATAGGTCAATCCATTGCTGGATGAAGGCATGCTCACAACACCATCACCTGCTTTTTGTGTTTAGTTTGTTGTCCTTTCCCCCGCACCTCCGATTAGCACGGTTGGCTGCGTAAGTTGTGAAATGAGTTTAACATACATACATAAAACAGTCACGTAGTGACAATGATGCATGTACGTATGTACCTTGAACTTCTTTCGCACCATATGTAACCAACCGTGCAATCCGGGGGTGCGATGCACTCTCCCTTGCACCTCAGGCTGGCAGGCCAGCGCGCTACCGGTGGCTCGCCGGGCACAGGCCCTCTCCATCTGTCTCCCCTCCCCAGCTGATACTAAACCCTCCGGAAGCCCCCTGAGCAAACAGGAGTTTATTTTGGCTGCGGTGCTTTGAAGTGCCCCTCCAAACTCCCCACTTTGGTCCCCCGAGCAGTAAAAGGGCCGTTACCGGTGGGGCAGGGTCATTATTGTTACTGCCAGGCCGGCCACAAACACCCTCTCACAATGCATTCGCGGCCGTGGAGTACTCCTGGTTACACCGTGCAATCCATGCAGCTGTGGTGCGGTTATTTATTTACTTTGTGATTTGTTGCAATTTGCTCAAGATGGTCGAATCGGCCTTCCCGTAACATTGGAGCCTTGTAAACGAGTGCACGCAACTTAATCGCGAAATAAGTGAACTAGAAATTAATGGCCTCATAAAATATGTAATCAACGACCAATGCTTATATAATCCGAGTGTAGAAATGCACAAGTGAAATTTATGAAAGGATGGTGAATAGTGATACCAATGCTCATACTTAACTCCAATATGGCAGGGTTCGGTTGAGGGTAACTGGTGTAGAGGAACTTACATGTGCGCAGAAGAGTTGGGCACTGAGAACGTTTAAGCCGCATTCGAGTTACCATCTACATCGAATGCAGAATTCCATCCACCATTTATGCCACGTTATTGCTCATTTACCACGACAGATGGCGAGTGCGGCAATATTGCTGCCACAGTCACCGCCGCAATAGTAAATAAGTAAATTATATTTCTGCAACAGCCACTGGTGCAATAATAAATAAATAATATTGCTGCCACGGTCACTGCCGTTACGAGTGCAGTGCTTGCACGAATCCCCTCTCCGCTTCAGGGAGCGCTTGTCAGCCGGAATTGGGATTGATTCTGGTGGACGTCTGTTAATGCTGCCTCCTGTCAAATCACCACTGTGACTGAAACCTCCCCTGACATTGCAGATAGCATTTCCAGAGACTCGCCATCCAGAAGGAAACGCTCCTTCGAGAGGGAAACTCTTCCCCGGCTGCCCCTTCTCTGTGCTCTTTCTTGACTGTGGCACTTTTAGAAAAATGTGTCGCGCATTTGTTTAGAATGGGATTTGTCATTTATTATTGCAAACAGAAGTGACTGACACGCACGGCTAATAATAACAACAATATGCACGTTGGTCACAAGCCTCAAGTGAAAGCAAGGATACCGTTATGTCCGGAAGCACGAGTTATTTGTCTGAGCCCCATCCTTGCCAGCTGTGAGCCATTTCGGCCTGTCCATGAGACGTTTGGCAAACGGTCTGCCTCTGTGCAAAGCCAGAACAAAGTGTAAACATGTCTGGCTTTTCTTGCTGCTGGTTCGAGGAGTCTACGGTGGATGCGGGGGTGTGGGCAACCCCATTGGAAAGCATTTTATGGGATGCCTTTACTGGCTGTTAAAGCCTTGCAAACTGAACTGGAAAATCAACACTAAAAGGCAGCATTGCATCTGTCGCCTCTCTGGTAATGTAAACTGCCTGCCCCTAAAGAGGTGGTGCAAGTAGTAAAACCTCATTTTAATTGGGATTGCCTTCACAGCACTCTAATGTATAAATTGTGAACAATGTACGTCCTCTAATGGGAAACCATTCATTGAGCTTCATATAAAGGGTGTGCGTGCACAGTGTGTCCGTCACACTTGAGGTGCGTGCCATGCGTGACACTATATTGGCTTTATCTTCACGAGCCTTCTAATGGTGATTTTGTATTTACAGTAAAGGCCACTTTGTTTATGGTCTCCACTGTGTAAAGGGCCGCACCTTGTTTGTGGGCATCGTTGAACATTTTTTGTTTGGCTTGGGCACAGCTGTTGCAGCGCTGATGAGACCCAAAGGATTGGCGCATGTGCTCGTAGCTGCTGCTCTGAGCCAAACATTTGAGACGTCCGCTCGTGTCTTACAGGACTTCGATCCTCCGAGTGAAGGTCAGGTGGTCAGACAGCCACCCTGGGGAGCTCACAGGGACCCCGTGCTCTCCATGATGGTCAGCACGAAGCAGAAGCCGGTGGAAGGCTTCCCTATACACTACCGGCCAGAGGTAGGCCGCTTCCGCCAAGTGCGCGTGACGGGCGGTGAGAGCACCGCACGTTGTGCCATCCCACCTCACATTCACTGAGAGAGGCTGACGCCACTTAGAAACGTTGGCTTGAGTGACTTAGGGGTCAGACCACTGACCTTGCACGATTGAGATCCTGGGATTGAATCCAGGTAGCCACTCGTAACAATTTGAGTGTCTCAGGCTAGCTACCTATAACTGCTTGGAAAAATATAATATTAAATTAGGATTTTCAACTAATTTGGCATATTGCGGCGATCAGATATTAAGACTTTTTTTTTAATGCACTTTTTTTCATCTCGTGGCGTGACACCTATAACGCAATGTAATACAAATCAAGGGGAAATAAATAAACATGACATAATAACGAACATTAAAAACATTGTGTTGAATGCGAACAGCAAGCTTTTTTATATTTTACATGCACACTATTTAATACAACATACTATGCAATGTACATAGTTGACCAAAGGACTATCGGTTGCAAAGGCACCAGCCCTGCACCTCCGATTAGCACGGTTGGCTACGTACGGTGCGAAAGAAGTTCAGCGTACATATATACAAACGTACACAACTGTTGGCTCCTCGGTGGAGCGAACACTTTCGTCGGCCCAGGGATCCCATCAGTCCGCGTGCATGCGTGCGTGCACTGTGCGTGCGTTTGCTCCTACGGTTTGATAGAGCCCGGACGACGAAGAGGACGAGGGGAGTGTTGGAGAGCTGAGCGAGGGCCAGAGGCCCAAGCTGACGACCGCTGCGGAGACCGTCATGATGGGTCACTCTCGCTACGGCGTCGCTACCACGCGCCAGGCAGGCGACGCGGGGAGACGCTCGCCCGGCGAGCATGGCTCAGACGGTGGGCACTGCCAGCTGCTCACTGCACCAGCACCAACCACTGCCACCACCATCATCAATACTTGGTGCCAGCGACCAAAACGTTAGCCAAAATTTTGAAATGTATAAGCAGAATTATAAAATGAAGAGTTCGCAGGGCTGTGAGAGATTGCGATGGCTTGGCGAGACTTTCATCTGGCGGTGGATTGACCATGGGTGATGGTGATGCACACCTGATTTGTAAAAATAGTACATATGGTTTTGCATAAATAATAATGATACATTTCTGGATGAAGGCCTTCCCATGCAACGTCAGTCTTAGGGGTTGTTTGACCATGCTTTACCATGCTAGTCAGTGCATGTTAGTTTAGATGTCACTAGCCACTGGTGGTGTTAGTCGTGATTGTTGCTGGCTTCATAGCACAGTGCACTCACCCCCCGGACCTCTGCTCTCTCTGATAAAAAGTAGAAGACAATAAACTTGTTTGCACGAAACATTCCCTCGAAGTAGACATAGTCCAGTGACGAGTTTTTAATTCACACAGTTTGCTCCTCTGAAACGGAATGTAGGATCATTGCAAAGAAATTGCCCCAAAGTTTGTTTTAAGAAGGCTTCTAACCGTACCCTAATATATACCACTGGTCTTTTGGGATTCATCCTGGCAAAAGATTGTTAGCAACTACAAAATTGATGGCAGGCCTGAAATCAATTAGCTGCACAGGGGATTAAATAACAACGTGTAAATATTATGGGCAGGTTGAACCACTCCATGGTCAAGCAACCCGAGCTTATTTGGACAAAACGTGCACATTCAATGAAGATGTTTATGTTACGCTGGAGATTGAGCGACGCGCTTGAATTTCTTTCTGCATTCCGGCCGCCCGTGGTACCGCCAGCAGGGGTGGGCCCCGAGGACGGCGCCGGCAGCGTGGGGCCCATGTCGCTGCGGGACCTGGGCTCTCGATCGAGCGGCACTCGACAGCCGAGGCAACGCAGCCCCGAGCGGCAGCCCCCTGCGGCGCGGGTAGGACGGGCGCACCTGTCCCACCTGTTCCACCGGTGCCGTGAACGTTTGTTGGCTTGGCCGTGCCTGAGCGCTGACCGCGTTTTTCGTTTGTCAGCCTCGAGAGCTGCCCAGAAGCAGAGTCATCCACGTGGGACGGCGAGAGGAGACGGCCGCCACCACATCTGGTCAGTTCATCAGCGAGTTCTCTTTGATGACGAGAGTTCATTGATTCAGGTTTCCTTTGAAAAATCCACTCGTGGTGTTAAAGGTAATTGATTTTTTATGTTTGTAAGAGATTTTTTTCTGTTGCATCATTAGCATTGAAATGTGACTTGAGCTCTGCAAATGTTATGCTGATGGTTAGTTGAGAACTCGACTGTAGAATTATATAATCTATTTGGTATACAAAAATAAGGTGATTTAACAAATCTAATTGATCAATGTAACGGTCATCACGTGCCTATAACGGAACACGTGGCTACGTGATTAAACTGCCTGCATTTATTATTATTATCGTTTATTAGTCTACATGCATTGAGCAAATACGTTTTTTTCTCATGAGCCCTGATACTACCTTCACACAGGAACATATATATATAGCGGGAAGATATTTTTGGACAATGCCCCATCTTCGAACAGAGAGTAATATGTAACAAGGAATTATCTCTACTGCCTGCTCTGAAGGAGAGCTATTGCCTAAGACATTAGCCTACTGTATATATATTTTTTTTATAAAACTATGTTAATAGAAAACTTTTGAGTTTTTATATTTGTGCTTTCTTACTTTACCAATGAAGTCCATCAGTTGCGTCCCTTCTGAATTTAAGATACCATTCCACATTTTGTTGTGTTGCTCACTTAACTCGTTTTAAATGAGTTCTACAGGCTAAACCATAATGTATATTTTCACATTGTGCTCACGGAGCTTGTTTTAAATGAGCTTCCGCAGTTGGTTACATCATCGATGGTAATTCATAACCTTCCACTCAAGTGAGCTCAGTTGACCGCACCCACCGTGAGTCTTCTGGGATATTGTCCTGGGGATTCGCGAGCGATCCCGGGCTCGCCGGCAGCGTTTGATTGACCGTGTGAGGTTGCAGACTTGCGTGGCGAGGGCAAGGCCAAGGTGCAGTTCAGATCATTCACAACTTGCAAAACACCCCGTTGGCTCAGTTTTTTGTAACAGTTTATCGTCAGCTTGACCCGTGAGCTCCAAATTGCTCTCCTCCGGTGAACCATGCGGCCTAACGAAGGTTGCGAAATGCTTTACCTCACAATTAGAATAATTGCCTTAATTATCCGGATCCTAAGCTTTGTCTTGTTTTGTCTCGGGACAATCCTCTGCAGCTTGGCACAACGGGCATTTGGTCGAGGAAAAACATTCAGGAAGTGACAAATTGACCTTTTTAGCGATTGCACGTAATTAGTCGTGACACTGGCAGTACAAAGGCATGACTCTTGCGAACTTTTGTCACGGGATCTTTTTACGTCCGCGCAAAATTAGCCGATCGTTCAAAAGTAACGAGCGGGGTCAACGAGTAGCTGCGCTCGCGCTCTGGTAGCGTCCCACGGTTGTGGCGGTCACGGACGAACTGTGTTTCCGTTCCGCAGGAGCAGAGGAGTTGGCCTCGGGGGACCTTTGCCGCACCGTGGTGGAGCCCAGCCGCTACCTGCACGGCGCTGCAGGCACGCCCCCCCACCCCCACCATCTCGCCGCTCACATTAAATTTAAGCGTCCCTCTCAGGCAGAGAAACACAAGAGGTTTTAAAGGTTAACCCTTGGGTTAGCTTTGCTTAAATTGACTGTCGAGGCTTTCTGCTTGGGTTGTTTGATTGCAAAGAGGGGGGGGGGGTGGTGGGGGGAGGATTGAAATTGCTGCCTTGATTTGCAACTCGGCGTGAAACGGCGCACCGAGTAAGAAGCGATTGTTGTGCTTGTGATGCGTGCCTTGAAGTGTGTTTTGTGAGAATCTGTTATTTGCTACTCACACACATTACATGCATAATATATGCTGTTACATTTAGCCAATGGGAGCCAACCACTGCACAAAAAAGACGAATCAATTAGAAACAATGCAAATGATACAGCAACATTGAGACAAAAAAAATCTATTGATTCTCGAATCGAACTGTGAACCAGAATTGTAAAAATTCCTGGAATCACTGCATGGGGGGGTAGACTCCTTCCATCATTACACGCTTGACTGCAGCCCTGCAAATACACCTGGCTTAAGCACAAGCAGTGCATGGCTCGAGAATGAGCCAAACCCCAACACCGCCCCTGTGCTGACAACCTGTGCCGGACGTCCGTGTGGCAGGAGACTCCCGGCAAGTGGGCGGGCGGCCGAGCGGTGACGCGCAGGTGCCCGCGTCTGCGCCGGGGATACGGCGTCGCGATGAGGCCGGGGACAGCGGCAGCGAGGACACGCTGCAGGACCTATCCGAGGGGTCCCTGCGGGGCACGTAGTGCTCCCTCGGGGCCCCTGTAGGGCACGTAGTGCTCCCTCGGGGCCCCTGTCGGGCACGTAGTGCTCCCTCGGGGCCCCTGTAGGGCACGTCGCGCTCCCTCGGGGCGACGTCGGGCCCCCCACGGCGATCCCCGAGCCTCGCGGGCAGCGCCGCTGTCGTACTACGACCACGTCGCGTTGAGCGTTTGAAAGGCGATCGAAGTGCACTTGAGGCACACTTGAAGTGCACTTGAAGTGGCAGCCAATGGTGCTTGTTGTGGGTTTAAGACTAGGGGTCAGGAACCTATGGCCCACTGACGAAATATGACCCTTGGCCACATGAGGCCTCCCACTTATAAATGGGCCACAAAGATTTTTTATCCATCGCTGCGAACATCTTAGCCACAAAAATCGGGTACTTGAGGGAAATATTTCCAACTTGGCAGTGCATACTGTTTCAGATTTCAGCAAGTTCAATCAACTTCTGTCACTGCAGGGGCATCAGCTATAGAAGCGACTGTGGTGTGTGTTCATGTGTGGCCCCTGCCAAAGGGATTTGAAAGTCCTACTTCAGCCCTGTGTAAGGAAAAAGTCCTGCACTCCTGGTTTACATACCTTGAAACACTGCAATGTTACATAGATTGAGCTGCAAACATGTGCATTGAGATGCAAGTTAAGGAAGATCTGTACAAGAAATATTCCATCCAAAATTAAATGCACCGTGTTTAATTGACATTCATTCATGAGGATTAAAGCATATTCGTCTTTTACAAATCACCCTCAACAAAGGGATTAAAGTAATGTTTGGCCACTTGAAGGCATTTTTTCTACCAATGGACGTCATTTTAGACATTTATCCATCTATTTAAACAGTTTAAACAGGATAACAAAATACTATCCAGTGTCAATCGTTGGAAGGCCTCCCACACCCATGTTGGTCATGGGGCTTGTTTGACCATACTTGACTACATTGGTCAATGTGGCTCTATGAAAGGGGGCTGGGGGGGGGGGCATGGCTGGTTCAGATGTCACTACACTCATGTTCGCCATGGCTAGGAATTTAACTCAGGTCGCTGGGTTTATGGTGCAGTACGCTGACTCCTGTGCCACCCAATTCACATATCACTTTAGACATCACTGATTCCCGCCCTAAATGTTGTGTTTGTGTTGGGTTCCCTTCAGTGAAAATTTTGGCATTTGGTGCCGCATTTTTCAGGATGCAGTGTTTTTACCGGTGCACTAATGGTGACTGGCGTTAGACCACATTATTTGCTAAATCACATTGGAAAACATGTAATTGCAGTTGACGTCCACACAGCATACTGTTCTTTCACACGCAGCAGCAGTCTTGATGCATTTAAGAGATTATTGCGAGACCAAAGGTTTGTGCCCTGGTTTCGTGCCATTTCTTTATTTTTTTAAAGTCTTGCATTATTGCTTGTCAATTTGAAACGTTGATCTGCCATGCGGCGAGTTAGCCTAATGCTGTTTTACTATTTTTTTTTGCAAAGCTACATTGCCGATAAGCATTTAAAATTGCCACGTAATAATGAAAATTCTGTGAAATAAGGAACACGTGCCAGCCCTGCTCGTAGGGGGGGGGGGGGGGGGTAGCCACCAAAAGCTTTCCCCCTGGAGCTCCCTTCTCAGACCACCGTTCGCTGCACGGCAATATTTCAAAGGACCAGGTTGGGTATAGTCGTTTGAATGCAACATTGATTAATATAAAATAACAGTTCTTTGTCAGTCAGTTTCTAGATAAAAGCCTCACCTCCCCTCTCCAGGCTGTGCTGGTCATTAGTCTTGCCTCACAATACTTCATCACTTGGCGTTGAGTGGGAATGGGTAGCTATGACCGGATCTGATATCATTTAGAACTCTTAACTCCAGTTGGAAGGCTTGTAACACTGACCACTGCGCCACCACTCCAACCCTGAATCCCACGTTAGCCATTGTTGTACGTTGCGCCAGTCATTAATGCAGTTCGTTAGCAAGGTTTACCTCTTCGCCGTCATCAACTGTATTTGGCAGCATCATTGAGAACCTCGTCGCTGTGAAATACCACGGCGGGGTCGTGGGTTATATGAACAGCTGTGGTGGATTACGGTGCGCCGCTGCCGCTTGCGGCTGCCTCTCCCATTTCTCAGGAAAGCCAACTGATTGATCAGTCACACGTGGCTGTGAGTGTTTTGAATGGAGTGTTCTGTGTGCTGTTGTTGCTCCAGGATTGGGTTTGCCGGGAGGTTGTTTGAACACACACGGTGCCGTGTGGGAATAAGGAGGCTGTGTATAATCCCTCTTTTATAGCACTAAAAGCAAAACACATATTACTTCGTGAATTTTGTACATGTGAATGATTACTCCTGGCAATGCTGACAGGTTCTCCATACCTCAGCCTTAACACAAAACACTTCTAATAGCTTTACACAATAATATTCAAGCACTGATCCTAATTTAGGCATTGGCAGAGGTGGGTTTTGTCGATTATTGACAGTTAATCGGTCTGATCGATGGGAAATAGTTTGATTGTTTTTGGAGAAAAATGTATTTCTGCCGATGCATGAAATCACCTCTGCTATTGTTTTCTCTTAAGCCATTGCTTGTGCAAGTCAGTCTTAGCACAGGGTCCATTCTGTGCAAGGCAATCTAACACGGGGGGGGGGGGGGGGTACTTGAAGGCTATATGGTTTCACCCAGCCATGTAGCTATTGAGTGTGCAGGCGGTGCGCTTGCACCACGACCCATGGGCCGAATGAGCATGGGCTCCAGACAAGGGGCCCCATTACATTGCTTGCTCCAGGGCTCATGCCAACCACAATACGCCACTGGCTTCACCCGCAAGCATACAAACATTCCATTGGCTCACATTGGTTACCGAACTTCGCCTGCGACGGCTGTTTTAAAAGCAATGTTCATGATCTATGCAAGTGATGTTTCATATACAGGCTGAAGCGTAGAACCACAATGCAAGGGGTTCTACACACTGGCCACATCTTGGTCTACATTTTTTTTGTTTCGAAGAAGAGTAATCGTTACTGTGTTTTGCTCACAACGGTTTACAGTTTGTGTGTTGCGTGTGTGTGAAAAAATACCAATGCGTGTGCTAGTAATAAAACTTTTATTTATGTTTAAATTTTGATAAAGTTTTCACGAAACAAACGTGTTGACTGTTTTTCTTTTCTTCTACAGAGTACATGCTGAGCTTACATTTTTGCGCGTGTTGTTCAGGTGTGTCTTAAGACCACGTTTGACTCGCAAGACAGCAGTCTCAAATTCTTTCACTTTATTTTGATCCGTGATGTCAGATATGGGATTGTGTGCGACCTCACTGGCGCCGTGCGGATCCCAACAGACGCGATACAGCACGAGCCTTCGTCACTTTGGGCTCAGCGTTGGTGGTCGTTGACCCGTTGTCTGTAACCGACAGGTTTACGATTGGAGGGTGAGTAATGGTTGGCGGTAATCAGTGGTGGGTAGCTATAATGTGGATGATTGGTAGTTTTGAATGGTGGTGGTGGTTGGTGGTTGGGTATATTTACAGATTTAAACAAAAAAAAACATTATCATGAATAGTATTGGTCGCGAAAGCCTCCGTGTTAAACTGGGTAGGTGGGTAGTTAATTTTTGGTGGGTGATTGTGGTGAGTAGTTAGTTGAGGTTAGTGAGTTATTGTTGTTTGTGAGTGGTGAGTAGTCAATGGGGAATAGCAAAACGACACGAACTCTCTCCTGAAGCCTCCTCACAGCTAGCAGACTTCGAAATTGGCATTTAACTCCCGAACATATGGAAGTCATACGCAAGAAGAGAATATTGTAGACGGTTGGTGGCTGATGGTTGGTAAGTGGTGAGTGGTCGATTGTTAGTGGGTGATCAGTGAGCGCTCGTGGTTGTAGAGGACGGCGGTTCGCGAGTGGTTCAGTAGTTGTGGATGACGGGGGGTGGATGGTGAGTGGATGGGTGTGTGGCTGGGTGGTTGGGTTTGGGAGGGCGGTAAATTGCCCGCACTTCAAAGCTTCACCTGGGGGCCAGCCTGACGCCACGCAATCATGGCGGGCGGGGTACGCACCGTGATTGCGGGCGAGGGAGTGTGTTTTCTCCCCCCTCTTGGTTCTTTGCTGCTCGGCATTGTGCCGCACAAATACAACACGTGGCGCGCCAGGTACGGGGCGGCGGTCGAGGCGCGCAAACCGATCCCGACCGAGACGGGGCCCTCCCTCCTCCTGAACGCGCCTCGTTCAAAGGCGGTCTGCGGAGTTTGTGTGCGTTGCATTATCTGCGCCCGTAATCAAGAGCGCGTGAACATTTAATCCCCGCGTGCTTTGCACGGTTTTAAAACCGCTCCGACCGCCGTGGTGGCGCCGAGTTAGCCCCGCGCTTGATCGAGTGACAGCGCAAATCCATTGAGTGCCGAGCACTGGACGTGGTTTTATTTATCTGAGCCAATCAACGTGGCTTGAGTTTGCGTCGATGAATTGTGGTGGCGAGACCCCGCGCTGCCAGACCGCGTGCCAGCGGGCAGGGTGAGCGCGAGATAGGTCCCCGTGTCGTGCCGACCTCTGGCGCAGGGGGTGACGGCCAGAGCAGCCGCAGCGCTGCTTTGGGCTTCGAGCAATTAGGGGCTCAGGATCACGGTGATTGTGGATGAATGTGGCTCACCTCGGCGCCACGGCATCGGCAGCAGCAGCCATTTACCAACATTGCAGTGTTGGGAGACTCGCGATGAAGAGGCGCGCAACCCAACTGGGACATTTCTAAGAGGGCACATTTTGTTTCGCAATAAGTTTCCCATAATTCAGTTCAGATGATACGGCCCAATATTGAATTGATTCGTAATTAATGCGTTGCCATACCTGTCGACCCATACGGTTTACGTCGTGTTCTTGTACATGGAAATTGAGTTTGCAGGTCCATACGGCGTATAGCCGTTTCAATACGGGCCAATTAAAAAAAATCTATTTGTGTTTCTGCCTTGTAATGGGACTTTTTATGATGAACGTTGAGATTTATAAGGTCACGGGGTGACCAATAAGGTCTGAGTTGGTCTGGAATAAGTTGGCACTGATAAGGGGTTGACTGGTATGCGATGCTTTCAATATGGTAATACATTAATCATACTTTTTATTTATTTTACGACTCTTTTACAATTACGAGCAAAGGCCTCTAGGATTACCAGCCTCTTGTTTACTACCGACACCAGGGGCTCGGGCAACCACAATAACAAGAAGAGACATTGTTTTTCTTAAAATTCGGTAAAAGATAAATATATGTGTAAAACCCCTCTCGATGTTTCAATGCAACTGAGCACGAGGCGGGGGTGGTGGTGGCGGTGGTCCTCGACGCGAAACCTCGCATGGCAGGCGGATTCGGAGCCGCAGGTCCGCCGACTTCTGATCGAGACAGAATCAGAAGAGTTCATACTCGAATAATCCGATGAAGCTGCTATATTAGCTCTTTCATAATACAGGTACATTTTGTTGGGGGTTAGATCGCGTAAATAGATACATGTGTCGTTAAACCCGCCACCATCCGACATTTAATTGTTAAGGGATTCATCTTCTTGGTTCTTTCGGTAAAGTCACGTAGAAGGGAAGTAATAAAATAATAAAAAATACTTCCCTTCTACGTGACTTTACCGAAAGAACCAAGAAGATGAATCCCTACAGTCACGAAAGCTTTAAATCGAAATGTTAAGGGTTTGTCACGTAAACAGAACGTTGCCATTCCGTCACGAGCACAGCACACCGGTGTGTTGGAGAGCAAATCCACAACATTTCCAAACTTTATATTAGCAGATTTGAAGCTTTCGTGACTGCAAGGATTCATACTCTTAGGTTTTTTCGGTAAAGTGACGTGGGTAAAAAATAAAATAAAAATAAATAAAAAATTATAGAAATAATAAAATAAAATAAATAGATATTATTCATATTAATAACAAAAACATAGAAATATTTATAGAAATAAAATACGTATTATTTATATTAGAATTATTATTAAATTTTATTTATTTATTATTATTTTCCCCTACGTGACTTTACGGAAAAAACCTAAGAGTATTTATATTAGCAATTGTTGTTGTTATAAATGTCCAGCAGGGGCGTTGTCAGAACATCCCGACAACAAACAACACGAAGACACGGAGGCGGTGCAGAGTAAGAGGGGCACGGTCGTTGTCCGATTGATGGGTCGAGGCGGGCACGCAGCCCCATGAACGAGGGTGAGCAGCTGTGTGTACAGCCTGCTGTGTGTCCAGCCAGCTGTTGTGTCCAGCCTGCTGTGTGTCCAGCCAGCTGTTGTGTCCAGCCTGCTGTGTGTCCAGCCAGCTGTGTGTCCAGCTAGATGTGTGTCCAGTCTGCTGTGTGTCCAGCCTGCTGTGTGTCCAGCCAGCTGTGTGCCCAGTCTGCTGTGTGTCCAGTCAGCTGTGTGTCCAGCCAGCTGTGTGTCCAGTCTGCTGTGTGTCCAGTCTGCTGTGTGTCCAGCCTGCTGTGTGTCCAGCCTGCTGTGTGTCCAGTCTGCTGTGTGTCCAGTCAGCTGTGTGTCCAGCCTGCTGTGTGTCCAGCCTGCTGTGTGTCCAGCCTGCTGTGTGTCCAGCCAGCTGTGTGTCCAGCCAGCTGTTGTGTCCAGCCTGCTGTGTGTCCAGCCTGCTGTGTGTCCAGCCAGCTGTGTGTCCAGCCTGCTGTGTGTCCAGCCAGCTGTTGTGTCCAGCCTGCTGTGTGTCCAGCCAGCTGTGTGTCCAGCCTGCTGTGTGTCCAGCCAGATGTTGTGTCCAGCCTGCTGTGTGTCCAGCCAGCTGTGTGTCCAGCCTGCTGTGTGTCCAGCCAGCTGTGTGTCCAGCCAGCTGTGTGTCCAGCCTGCTGTGTGTCCAGCCTGCTGTGTGTCCAGCCTGCTGTGTGTCCAGCCAGATGTTGTGTCCAGCCTGCTGTGTGTCCAGCCAGCTGTGTGTCCAGCCTGCTGTGTGTCCAGCCAGCTGTGTGTCCAGCCAGCTGTGTGTCCAGCCTGCTGTGTGTCCAGCCAGCTGTGTGTCCAGCCAGCTGTGTGTCCAGCCTGCTGTGTGTCCAGCCTGCTGTGTGTCCAGCCAGCTGTGTGTCCAGCCAGCTGTGTGTCCAGCCTGCTGTGTGTCCAGCCTGCTGTGTGTCCAGTCTGCTGTGTGTCCAGCCTGCTGTGTGTCCAGTCAGCTGTGTGTCCAGCCTGCTGTGTGTCCAGCCTGCTGTGTGTCCAGTCTGCTGTGTGTCCAGCCTGCTGTGTGTCCAGCCAGCTGTGTGTCCAGCCTGCTGTGTGTCCAGCCAGCTGTGTGTCCAGCCAGCTGTTGTGTCCAGCCTGCTGTGTGTCCAGCCTGCTGTGTGTCCAGCCAGCTGTGTGTCCAGCCTGCTGTGTGTCCAGCCTGCTGTGTGTCCAGCCAGCTGTTGTGTCCAGCCTGCTGTGTGTCCAGCCAGCTGTGTGTCCAGCCTGCTGTGTGTCCAGCCAGATGTTGTGTCCAGCCTGCTGTGTGTCCAGCCAGCTGTGTGTCCAGCCTGCTGTGTGTCCAGCCAGCTGTGTGTCCAGCCAGCTGTGTGTCCAGCCTGCTGTGTGTCCAGCCTGCTGTGTGTCCAGCCAGCTGTGTGTCCAGCCTGCTGTGTGCCCAGCCTGCTGTGTGTCCAGCCTGCTGTGTGTCCAGCCTGCCGGCCAGGTGCAATGTTTACAACGGTGACGATGAGACATCAAAGCGAAGTTGGACAGTTTGCATTTAAGCTTCAGCCCCGTCTTGCAAACGATTAACTTTACCGCGAATCAATGATAATGTTTGTTCTAGATTTGAAGCTTTCGTGACTGCAAGGATTCATATTCTTAGTTTTTTTTTCGGTAAAGTCACGTAGGTAAAAATAGAAATAAATAATAAAATAATAGAAATTATAATAGAAATAAACTATAGTTATTTTGCTGTGCCTTTTTTACACCTGATGAAGGAAGCTTGTGTTGCCTCCGAAACGTCGTGATTTATTCTTTATTTGTATTATTATTTCTATTTTTTTTACCTACGTGACTTTACCGAAAAAATCCAGCTAATGTTTGTGTTCATTTATTTGTGGAGCTGGCAGGAGGAAAACTGCGGAGCTCTACGAGACCTCACCAATGTCGCGTGACGTCGACACCCCCCCCCCCTCCCGCGTCTGCTGACGTCACCGACTCCTCACCAGTGTGACGTCGTCCCTCTGCTTCGAGCTCACCGGTGTCGCGTGACGTAATAACTCCCCTGTCTCCTCACTGCCTTCTGCGTCCCGTGACGTCAAACCCCTTCTCCTCACATCACCCCAGCGTTGCGTGACGTCAGTAGTCTCCCCCAGAGCCCGGGGGTCTGTGAGGTCATCAGCCCCCCTCCCCTTCCACCGCAGCCCAATCAACCCCGCCCCTCCACCTCGACAGAATGACGTGACGTCATAACCCCCCCCCCCCAAAAAAAAAAAACCGACTTGATTTTTGATGCGTTACAGACGGACAAACAAGCATATTGTTGTGTAGTTTATAAAGACTACGTGGGCCAGGCTGACTGAAGGCGATCTTGACTGCACGTGGCTTCATTTATACAGGATGTGGAATGCTCAATGTCACGTTAGGTGATGATAGTATATGATCATTATAATCCTCGATCAAGCCACTGCTGAATTTCTCGCCACGTGCTTTGATCGTGGGGCTTAGTTGATGACACTTTACCACGCTGATCAGTGCAGCTTTGTTTAATGGTGATGCCATGCAGGACGGGCTCAGATCATCACTCACCATTGATGTTTAGCCGCGAGTCGAACTTAGGTCTCCGGATTCATCGCGAAATGCGCTAACCACTGCCCCACCGCAAAGCATCGGTATAGTGGAATACTAAGCAGCAGCAATGTATTATTTCTAGATTTGAAGCTTTCGTGACTGCAAGGATTCATACTCTTAGGTTTTTTTTCGGGAAAGTCACGTAGGTAAAAAAAATAGAAATAATAATAGAAATATAATTGAAAAATCACGACGTTTCGGAGGCAACACAAGTATCAAGTGATACAGTAAATCTAGCTGTGACGGTCCCACCTGATGACGGAGACTTGTGTTGCCTCCGAAACGTCGTTATTTATAATTGTATTTTTATTATTATTTATTTTTACCTACGTGACTTTACCGAAAAAACCTAAGAGTACCAATGTATTATGTTAAATCCCTCTAAATGGCGGTGGTTCCATTCGCATCAGCTCGTGTGTAAGCGCCTAAGGTACTGCAGTGACACGGCCACGTGCACGTGGAACCAGTGCGCGCTTTGGTGTGAAGCGTTCGGCGCGGGGCATTATCGGACCAACAATGCGGCCACTGCGACTAAACACGTGGCCATGTCTCCACCTCGTATCTCAACAATTGCCTTCAAAACAAACTCCGCAGGTGACCTTTGCGTTCAATCTCCGCTCTGTGACCGGCGTGGTGCTGGCCAACGCAACCACCCACCCCTTCGTGTGCCGTGCCGGCCTTCTTAGGTGCTGCTCTCGCTAACGGCACTTGCCCCCCCCGCCGCCCCCCAACAGTCTGTTCAGGCTACACTGGGGATCTGTTGTTGTCTTTGTGCCCGGGTGTGTGCTCTGGAGAGAGAGGATGGTCAGATAGGCAATCGGCACACGACATCGTAGGAAGTGATGCTATCTGCGCGCCTGTAAAATATTAACCCCAGGGTTTGTGCTCTTTATTTTCCCTTTTGAAGCCGAGTTTGGCTAGCGCACGTGATGTTCCTTAAGGTGGTAACAATAAGAGTTTACAATTGAATGCAAGTAAAACAAAAACAGTTTGTCTCAATGAAAGCTCAGCCGGAATGGAGCCTGGAAAGCGTTAAGATTGCAGGGCGACCACGACGCACACAAAACACGTAACCTGCTTGCGGGTCTACGTTGTCAGAATAGGTCGGTGTGGCACCATACATTGTTGTACAGTACTGCACCGTTCGCCAACGTCTACGGGCCACGCCCGGTACCCACACTGACTCGCTTGGTGAAGTATGGTCGAATAACCCCCAAGACTCGTACAGCGTGCATTGTACTGCACTCCGAGGTCGCCCAGGAATATCGTCATCTTCAATGACTTCATTTCACCGGGTGAGCACCAAACTGAGGCGCGAGGCCCTTTCCGCGAGGGTGACCTGGGTCCACAAACGTGAGCAGTGCAGTTTAGACCTTCACATACCGAGCGATGAGATCCCACAAGTGGCGCAATTGTCACATCAGCGGTTGCTTGGTCCAATCAAGCGAAAGACAAAGCCACGCCAAGACGCGTCGCGGCTAACCTCTAGACTCTTAGAGTCACTCGTGGTACAATTCTTAGAACAATTACGGTACCAATGGCATTCTTTCGAACACAAGAGGCGCACATTAGATCAAGTGAGGTCGGCGTACGAACACCCCGTGAAAAGTACAAGTGTGGGCACAAATACCGACACGGCAAGTTATGATTTCTAGAATTAACAATCTAGAGGCCGCCGGTTCGATTCCATCTCCTGGCGCGCCAGTTGAAACAATGGAGAGCGTTTCTTAAGATCACGTCGCTTTTGTCCACCCAGCGGTATACATTGATTCACCACGGTCGGATCGGTACGTCCCGTATGGCGGAGTCAAGTGTGGGCATGCCCACCTCGTCCAAAGCGCCTTGTGTAATCGGTAATCAATGTTATATTTTTGCGCATGGCAATATGTTCAGGAGCTATATGCCAATTTCAGTTGAGAAACTGTTACCGGTTTATCGTGTGACAACCCGATGCAGTATAGCACAAACTCACTATACACTGTTATCGCGCATCACATAATATGGGAATAAACTTGTGCCACAAGATATATCAGCGCGCCATGTTATGTTGATTTGCATCACAACAGAAGATTCGGAAAACCCAAGAGATATTTACGGGGCAAAGCCCAGTTTGTGTACGAGTATAAACCGAAGCTTTCGCGCAGCTGGTCTGGCAGAACAATATTCCCTCTTGACAGTTCTACAGAACAAACGGTGATCTGTTTCGCGCTCATCAGCGAGCCAAATCTGGTCTCACAGCTGCCAAGATGTTGAGTCCCTGTATGAATGAGCGGTGGCGCAGTGGTTAGCGCACTTCGCTATGTACCCAGTGATGTGAGTTCAACTCCCGGCTTGCATCAGTGACGAGTAATACATTAACCGTCACGTGCCCCTCCCAACGAAAACTTCACCAACCGGTTCTGACCAACGTGGCGAAGTATGGTCAAAGAACCGTCACGTGACCGACACGGCGTTACGACAACTTTCATCCAACGGTGAATTGATATAGGGCCCTAAAGTTTTGATATGGATGTAGTGGACCGGCGCTGTACAATAAGTGTTCACCGATATGTCTCTTCGTTATTGAGCTCGTTCCGCATCAATCCCCTCGGCCCGGTGTAGCCCTTCGAGTCATCACTGAGGCCCCCCTCCCTCCCATACCCCATCAGTTTTATTAAAGGTGAAGTGCGGTTTGCCGTTCAGTGCGTTCGCCAACGGAAGCACTGGAGCCTTGGAGCAAGAGCGGCAGCACCCAAACAATCTATTTAATCGCAACCTCAGTTCGTTTCTTAACGACTCCCAACAAGTAACGCAGTTGCGCTCGCCGTCTTTTGCTGTGGAGGAGGGCCGTTGTCCGAAACGTCGGCATAGTACAGTATATACGTTCTATTGTAACGACACGTGGGTGAGCTGTTGGTTCGTGCATCGCTGCCGACCTCGTCGCGTGTCATTGCGCTCTTTAAATGTAAGTTGCCTCCATGCAAAGCCGCTCCCCCGAGCTTGCTTTTTAAAACGAGCTCCTTCAGCGAACGATATTCCAATCGGCGGCCTTTTTGTTTAACTTCTCAAACAGCAGGTGTCGTCGTGTTTCAGCCAAACGCTGAGAGAGGGCGAGAGATAGAGACCCCGGCTCACGTTCTGAAGAAGCTCCCAGCGCGTGGAGCGAAACGTCGGACACGCACGCCGAACACGACAGGCGACGCAACCAGAGAACGCATCAGAGGGATTAAACAGCAGAGCCGCTAAAGCCCTGCGCGCCAGAGTTTGCTCTCACGCAGATCTCGCTCGGCAGACAACGAGGGGTCAGTGACGCCAGAGTGGTCGCTCCTTTTAGAGTGACCGACTCACTCCGACCTCTCTCCCTGCTGACCCCCCCCTCCCCGCATCCCCTGGGCCCATGTGGTGGGGTTACGGAGTCGGGGTAAGGAAGGTCGGGGAGGAGGGTGCAGGTCGGCCGTGCACCTTGCCCAAGGACAGCCGATAAACATCAAACGGCTGCTTCGCGTAATCTCGCGTGTTTGTAACAAACGGACAGCTGAAGGCAACCGCCATCGCCACCCATCATGCAAGGGGGCCGCTCTCACGACGTCTCAACGTCTAAACAAACGCCACCATGTTATCTTTGTGTTGAGTCGTTTCCCTTATTCGCCCCCCCCCCCCCGAATGTGAATCGTTTCACCCACTCTAAACAGAACCCCGGCGGCAGCGAGATGCCCTCCCCACGCTTCTTGACACCTGCTTCTGACCGAGTTTTCTTCGTCGATTCCCTTCTAAGCCCGAAATTAATCGGCGTTGTTAATTCCACTAAAAGTCTGGAAAATCGATCGGACGACTAAACGTGTGCAGGTACTGTAGAGTACTTGCAAAAAAGAAAACCACGTTCAGCATTTCATATTCAGCACTGGGTGCGTTCGGGTCCAGTGATGCTTCACGCGACGGAGTCCATCTGATCGCAGCTACAATTCGGCGAACGGCGCTCGCATTCAGGCATCGCTGGCCACTAATTGGTGACCGTTGCCGGGTCGCGAACTCGGGCGGCCGGGTTCATAGGGCAAGGTCCAAAGTTTGACGCCGCTGTGTTGTCTGGTAAGTGATGAAGTGAACACGTGAATCGGGTGGTTAACCGCGTGAGACCACCGGTCGGGAGTGCCCTCCAAAAACAAAACATGCAAATTTCCCGGAATGCTAGAGGGTGTTTCGGGACAGCTTCGCAATCCATGGAAACATTCCGGCCAGACTGTCTGAGACGCAGAGGCGTTCTGCTGCTAGCCGTGCCGTGTCTCGCGAAAGGCCCCGGATCGTTTGCTGTCAGTGTCGTGAAGAAACGTCGCCTGTTTTATATGTTCTCTTAAGTCCATAGCGTTTTTGAGAAATATGTAAGGCGACAGCACTCACGAAAGACATTGGCAGCAAATGCAGAGGTTATTTTCTTCAAACGAGATTGGAGAAATATCGTCAGGAACGATAGTAGAGAAAGGAGTAAAGTAATCGTCCAAGACTTGATGGTAACGGTCACCATGACAACCGATAACAAACAACTTCAGAAGATGATTGATGAAATTAACAAAGAGGAGTCCAAAGCTGGGCTCAAGATAAACAGGAGCGAAACATATGACACGTGCACTACAAGTTTCCTAAACAAAATGAAATTATCTTTTGAGGGAAACGACTGGAAAACAGCAGAATATGTACAGCTATCGGGCAATTATCAAAGGCAGATTAGAATCCAATTATGAAATAAAGATATAAACAAAACGAAGTGAGTTAGTTAAAAAAAACTTACTTTGATAACGCAAAGCAACACACCGATATGCTTGAAAAATAAAGATTTCAATCAGTGAATATTGCCCGCTATAATATCGCACCTGGGATTAGCACGGTTGGCTACGTGCGGTGCGAACGAAATTCAACATACAGTACATACGTATCATACGCACGGACACTAACGCAGGCCATAGAACAACAGTTGGAATGCCCACGTGGGGAGATTCATGTTTGGAATTGCACCAAGAACACGTGGCTCAGAGAACAAACGCAAACCAGAGGCATCGTGGTATTAGCGCCACGTGAATATGAGTGGGCTTGAGCAGGACACGCCACGAGAAGGAATGATGGCCCGATGGACAAGACTGGTGGAAAAATGGCAGGGCAACACCGAAACCACCGTGGATATGGAACAAATGAGATCGTCTCCCGTGCAGGCGTGAGACGGATTGTGGCATCGCAGTTCCGCGTGGGATGGCGACTGCGTGAGGAGGCATTCATCCAGCAGTGGATAAACCATGGCTGACGGTGCCGATGTTGACTCCACTGTGCCCCCCCCCCCCCACGTGCTCACCAATGTGCACTCGTGGAGTTGGCCAACACTTCCGAAAACGGGTCCTGAGGTTCAGCTGGGACTCTGGGACTCTCCGAGGCAAAGGGCATTATTGGTATTATGTTTGCGATAGCAGCGACCCGCGACCCTCCTGTCACGACGATCCGTCACTCGGCAGCTCGGCGCGGAGTTTATGAATGTGCAATCTCCGTCGTGAGTGATGCTTCCTGAATTCATCCGCTGATTTATAGTTCCTTTGCATCGGTGCTGCTGTGCGCATGTGTCCGACCGCTGTACTTCATCTTTAAACGATACAGAATCTGAAGCCTCCCTCCGGTGCCTTATCAACACCCAGAGTTCCCACATCACCCGATATAGTCTTCGAAGTATGCTTATAGAGCTATATATGTATACATACACATACTTTGTCAATCCACGACTGGATGAAGGCCTCCCCCACGCCGCTGTCGGTCGTGTCAGCTGTTTGACCATACTTCACCACGCTGGTCGGTGTGGGTTGGTGAAGGGGTTCAGAGTACAGTGCGCTAACTACCACGCAACCGCCCCACCCCACAAACATTGACTCTGAGTGAGAGACAGAACATGTACGGTTTTTGGAAGACATAATAAACGTTTGTTATAACGTCCAGCCCTTTGTCAATCTACTGCTGGATGAAGGGCTCCCCACACCATATCGGTGGTGGAGGTTGTTTTCACCATACTTCACCATACTGGTCAGTGCGGATGTTAACCGCGGCTGGTAATGGAATTCACGTCGCCGGGTTCACATGGCAGTGCGCTAACCACTGCGCCACCGCTCTAAGGCCCTCTCGGGAAAGGCACGCGCTCTGTGGACGAATACAAACTACGCAATCATACGAATGGCCGCTGCTGCCGGAAGCTACTGCCACATGCACGCATCACGCTTGTGGTCACTTCGCTATCGAACGGCCATCAGCTCGTTTAACGAGTTCATTCCTTTATCGCGGCGTTTGATGAGCCGCACGCCCAATTTTAACAATTCATTTTATTGATCTGTAAAGGAGGGCGAGGGTTTCCTCTGGCGAGGGAGATATGGGAGGTTTTATATGCGCGGGAGACATTTACCATTGTTTTATTTTAATTGAGTATCATTTAAAGATTTGGGATTTTTTTCAGTGATTTTTCATATGACACCCACCCACCATAACTTGCTCTCGTAAATCACGCCACGGGGTGTTTAACGTCTGCTTTACAGTTTACGGTCAATCAGCTGTACGGGATGATCACGTAATTTATGTATTTTTTCCAGGCAAGCCTCAAGGCTGCTTCCCCTCTCCCGCGTAAGGAGCGCTTGCTTCTTGTGGGACAGAAGCGGAATATCCAGGGAACACACCACCACCACCACGCTCAACAAGGAGATAGCGCTCACATTTACGCACAGACGAGGTTCACGCAACCCAGCAAGCTGGCTTTTCCCTGCCACCTCCTGGCCACTTCGCAGCCTCGGCGTGTTTGGGAGTTTCACTCCAGATCTTTGCGTGATCTTTGCCCGCACAGAGCGCCCAACTGGGAGTTGTGCGAGTCGCCACGCCGGACTTGCGCAATCGGTCACAGCGCCGCGCCGGCCTCGCACAAAAGGCGTTCTCGTCGCTCGCTGCCGTTAATCGCAGCCTTTATCTCGACACCCCCCCCACCTCCAGCCACTCCCCCCCCCCTTTCTTCTCCCCCACCCCCCCCGTGTGCAGGAAGCCGCCGAGCGTCTGGAAGCTCAAGATGCCACGGGGGTGGCCTCCCCAGCGAGCCGCACATTTGGTGAAGGCTCTCATTACCCCGCGCAATCTGCCCGTGACACAGACGGCCCGATACAATCGCGCGAGTCGCATCCAAGCACTGCCACTTCCCCTTGCGTTGCAATCGATGGACGCGTGCGCGCCGCAGGAATGAGTGGCAAGCTGGACGACACTTACGGATTTTGGGTCACGTGTTCGCGTCGTCTGTGCGAGTAACAACACAGCCAGTGGCTTTTTTGGACGAGATGAGGCCGGGAATTCGATCCCGACCCTGACTATGCCTGCTGTATATTTGAAGTTCGCGAGTTCTCTCTCACAGTGGTGGTCACGTGAACTTTTCTCCAGGTTCTAAACATGGGTTTAGATTATGTGGCCGCTATTATAAATCCCTACGTATGTTAATAGAGCCACTTCGATTAGCTATCACGTGTGGCCAGATCGCCTATGAAAAAGAGATAATAGCTCAGTGGGCTTTAGCTGGTAAAAAATAATGGAGGTGGAGGGGTGTCTGTGGGGGAACTGCAAGGCTGTGTTTCTTGACGCCGAAGCCAATTGCCTTTGCGGCCACGTGGCTGTAATTGTCATACGTCGCTGCTTCAATAAATTAATTAAAACGCCACACGTGCCCTCTACTGCCCACAACGCCTACTATACATCAGTATTTTTGCGCACGATAGCCGCCCATCCAAGCACTATCCAGGCTCCTAAAAAAATCCCGCTTAGCTTCCAAGGTCCAACGGGATGGGGCGCATTCCGGGGTTCTATTATAGGGCAGTGTTCTCGCGGTAAAACAATGGTACCTTCTTTTTTTTAATGAGCGCCAGTCGAGACTAATCACTGCTGCCATTATTACTATTGCCACGATAGGTTTCTCCGACATCACGGTTCATTAGGTCTCATAGCCCGGTTGAAATTACGCATTGCAAAGGAGGTAGGGTGCAGACAGCAGGCGGGACGGGTGCAGCAGAGGTCCCGCCAGATGCTTTTCAGCCTCGACGCGGGTCTGGAGAAAGGTTTGATTTCGGGGGATGGGAGGAGGGCGGGAGGGAGGGCGAGGGGAGTCGTGTCTCTGGCGGGGGAGGAGGAGTGATGGAGGGAGGAGAGAGGCAGGGAGACAGAGAGAGCGGCTGGAGATTTTGGAGGAGAGAGTGGGGGCGGAGGGGAGAGAGATTGGGGGGAGGAGTGAGCCGCATTGGGTAAGTACTAAGACTCGAGAGGGCTGTGGTGGTGGTGGAGGAGTTTGGGGCTCCATCTGGTGGTGACGTAACCGCTCCCAATAGGCAGCGTGGACCAATGGGATCGTGGCCTGGAGTGAGATATTCACTGCGCCGCCCGAGAGTGGGGGCTCAGAGCGCGCGCGCAGGTACACGGAGCAACATCGACGGGGCGCAGATGATCGCGCTGTGACACCCGCGCAAGTGAGTCAGTGGCCACGGGAACAGGATAGACGCGGTGTTGGCAGTAGCAGCAGCATGCAAGACGCCAGCAGCAGGGTGGCCACTGCGCCCTGCGCTCAGGGACCCGGCTGCTCTTACCCGGCCACGCTCGTGGCGCAAAGCGGAGCGCAGCGCGGTCCTGGAGCGGGAAGTCCGGAGCGTAGCCGAGCGAGCGAGCGTCTGGAGGCGAGTATGGCCGGCTTGGCCGAGCTGGAGCTGCTGCGGAGGAGGCACGAGGCGCTGGTGCGGGGCGTCCTGGAAGCCCCCGCGAGTGCCGACCAGGATCAGCATCAGCGCCATCAACATCCTCATCAGCACCACTCGGGGAGCGTGAGCGCACGGCAGCAACCGCTGGAGCGCGACTTCGTGGAGTCGCTCAGAGCGATGAAAGAGCAGCTGGTGAGAACAACTCTGTGTGTGTGTGTGCGTGAGAACAACTCTGTGTGTGTGGGTGCGTGCGTGAGAACAACTCGTGTGTGTGGGTGCGTGCGTGAGAACAACTCGTGTGTGTGTGTGTGCGTGAGAACAACTCTGTGTGTGTGTGTGTGCGTGAGAACAACTCTGTGTGTGTGTGTGCGTGAGAACAACGCGTGTGTGGTGCGTGAGAACAACTCTGTGTGTGTGGGTGCGTGAGAACAACTCTGTGTGTGTGTGTGTGCGTGAGAACAACTCGTGTATGTGCGTGAGACAGAGATGGGTGTTCGCAAAACAGCACATAGCCCACTCCGTCTGTCAGGCTAGACCGCTAGAGGAATCGTTATCTGGAGCGCGGCGGTGTAGTGGTCAGCGCGTCGCGCTTTACAAATTCGACCACCCGGGTTCGAGTCCCGGCACCGGTCGACGTCAGTGGCGAGCGATCTTCGCAGGCCCTGGGCCGCCCCCCCTCGCCAACCCCGCACTGACGGGCGTGGTGAAGTATCGTCAAACAGTTCCCACAACCCACGCGGTGCGGAGAAGTCTTCACCCAGCAGCGGCTTGGCAAGCCGTGAATGACTACGACTATTATTATTATTATTGAAGGGGCCCCTTTCCATGGTATTTTGGGCTACTCCACGCCGGGCAAATTCGTGGTCGAGGTTCGAGTAGCCGCACTGTGCCCCACCACCACCACCATCACCACCACCATCACCACCATCACCACCACCATCACCACCACCACCAAGCTGTGCGACCTGGAGATCCGCGTGCTGTGGTGTACCCGCTCGTGTACCCATCGTGTACCCGCTCGTGTACCCGCTCGTGTACCCGCTCGTGTACCCACTCGTGTACCCATCGTGTACCCGCTCGTGTACCCGCTCGTGTACCCATCGTGTACCCACTCGTGTACCCATCGTGTACCCGTTCGTGCTGCAGGATTACAGTCACCGGCTGTCGGGCGGGAGGGTAGTAGGGGTGGCTGGGAGGGAGATGTAAGAATGTTTCACACTGCCGTGCCACGGGAGATCGAAGCGGCGACCCCTCTCTCTCTCTCAAGTCGCAGTCTGCTGACCGCTCGCTGCACACAGCGACAGAGGCACCGCAGACGCCGCCAATCCCCAAACGGCGGCTCCGGCTCAAGTTAGCGCGGCGCTGCTGCGGAACCCCCCGGGGTCGGAGGGCGCAGCGAAGCTGCGGGGCAAGGGGCGTGGGCGGGTGGGTGGGGGGCAAACTTCGCAGCGCCTCTCGCCCTCGGCTATCGGATGCCATTCCTTATTTTGCACCTTAACGGCCACGGTGTGCGTACGGGGTCAGTGTGTGTGTGTGTTTGTTGGGTCGGTGTGTGTGTGCGCGTCACTGTGTGTGTGTGTGTTGGGTCGGTGTGGGGAGCGGTGGCGCAGCGGGTAGCGCGCTGCGCTACGAACCCGTCGAGCCGAGTTCGAATCCCGCTCACGGCCTCCCCCAGATCTACTCAGCCTGAATTGAGTACCGTGCGCGATGTGTAAAAACATCGCCACTAGAGAGACAAAGGCGGCCGGGCGTGGTGTTGGCCACCCACCTCCTCGTGTGCCGTGCCGGCCTTCGTAGGTGCTCGCTAACGGCACTCGCCCCAACAGTCTGCTAAGGCTATACGGGGGATCTTTGTCTCTGTATGTGGACTAGTTGGGGGGGGGGATGAGGGTATTCACTGCCCCCCGCGTTGACCCCTAGGGCTGCCTCCCCCAGCGCGACCTCGGGCTCCTGTCGCGGCTTCGTCACCTGAACGAGCAGTTCAGCGAGCTCAAGATGGACATGGACAGAGCGGCCGTCAAGCAGTCGGAGACGGACAGCCGGCCCAGCTCCGGTGCGTGACACACGCGCGGACACACGCGCGGACACACGCACGGGGACACGCGCGGACACACGCGCGGACACACGCTGAGACACGCGGACACACGCTGAGACAAACGGATAAAGACAAAGATCCCTCGTGTAGCCTGTAAAAGACTGTTGGGCCAAGTGTTGTTTGCGAGCATGTGTTAAGGGCCGGCACAGTGCACGAACCACATGGTGAGCAACATCACGCTCAGCCGTCTTCGTCTCCCCAACAGTGCCGATGTTTGCACAAGGTTCACATTTAAGGCTGAGTCGACCTACAGGGGAGGTCCATAAATAACGGACACGTGGACAGCGTCACTGAGTCGGAGAGTCCGACTCGCACGGTCAATCCGACGCGAGCGCATTTGCATCGGCGGTTCAATAGCGCAACCCCCTCGCCACACTTTGATCCCCGTACAACACGAAATAAGAATGAGATGCATCTTAGAGAACGTGCGTACATTTCCACCGCAGTGTTCTGCGGTGGCATTACCGATTGCGAAGTTAACACCAGCGCGTGCAGAATGCGGCACGTGCAATGCGCAGAGTGATGTTCACGTGCCATATTTAATGTGCTGCTCCAACGTGATGGGTGCTCGGTGTTTTACATTCTGCACGCATAGCAATGCGGAGCCTATCACGTGAAGGGGAAGCTTCACATTCCTTAGACGAGTATTTATGATTCATAACCACAGCAACTTACGACTAACCACTCAATACTGAATAGGAATAGCAATGCGCATCCCGTTGTAAATCCACTGCTGTATTCTGACGTGCCCACGGGAATTGTTTAACCATACTTCACCACGCCGATAGGCAGCGGAGGTTGGGTGGGGCTGGTAGGACCGGTTTAGATAACAATCGCCACTCACGTTCGCCGTGGCCGGGAATTGAACCCATGTGCGCCAGACACTGCGACACAGCTTGCATGCTTTATTGTATACTGTAATACACACGGCAACTTTTACGTTGAACATCACACGAGCTCTCTGGGACCCGAACCTCGCAACAACAACAAAAAAACAACCTCTTCACCGTAGTTTATTAAATAGGGTATATACTATTAATATTATAGAGTAATCGTAAATGCAGTTAGTCGTCCAGTTAGTCGCATAGTGCATCGTGGTGCGAGATGTTAATTCGGTTCCAATGGCACAGAGGAGGAGTCTGCCTCCGATACACTCCGTAGTCGCTATCGTCTGAGTTGTATTCATTGCGCATCGCCAGCACAAAGGTTGTTGTAGCCTCCCGCGGCCGAGGAGGGGATAATGGGGCACCAGGAGACCGAAAGGTTGTCGCCCGGGAGTTCCCGGACCGAATGCAAGCGGATTCCCCGCATTCATGACCCGTGATCAATGGGGGGAGCCAATTTGAAAATTCAACGCCTACCCCCCCGCTGTAACGCGCGCGTAGGGTGGGTCACCTGCGGGCATCGGCTGCTTGGAAAGGGACGGGGCTGGCTCGCATACAGGGTGCCGACGCGGGACTCCGCCGTAATACACAAGGCAGTCTGGTGGGAGCGCGAGCAAGGCGGGCAGCCGTGGCCAGCGCTCTGCCGAGGAATTATTATAAAACAAAACAAAAATACAAATACCCACTAGTTAAAAAAAAAAATCTCACCCTATCGTGAAACCGATGTGCTAATTGGCGTAGATGCGCACGACAATGAAAGCTGTACAATGAGAGAAATCTCCATCCCGACAGATTACATTTGTGCGGGCGAGAAAAGACCATTGGTTTCAAGTGGGACTGCAAACACGTGTGAACAAACAAGGCACGCAGACGATTTATTATGCAAAGTGGGCGTGCATTCATCGAGTGGCATTACATCTCAATGGCCGGTGACGCTGACATCAGCCTTATTTATATTTGCTCCTCTTGATAGTTGTCCAAGGAACTGATTCGACCACCCATTCGCCCGAACCATAAAAATGTGGAATTTCCCCTTCTGCGACCGAATGGATTAACTGTGTGAATGCGCACTTCTTTTACAGTATCTATATTTGTGTACCAATGTATGCCTTGAACCCAGTGATCTGAGTTTGATAATTACCAACCACGACTAGTGAGTGATACCTGTGACCTTGTCCTGGGCCTCCCCAGGCACGACTCAGCCTTAAATGTGTATGTGTAGTGATGTGTAAACATTATCACTGGGGAGACAAAGGCGGCCGGGCGTGGTGCTGGCCACCCACCCTCCAGTGTGCCGTGCCTGCCTTCATTGACCCTCGCTAACAACACTTGCTCCAAGTATGTTAATGGCTATATG